GGAGGTGGAAAAGGGACATTTTCATTTGTGGTTATCTCATTGAAAATGTGACTATCGTGTATATTTTCTTCCCATCTAAGCGATACGAAGGTGAAACACATGTCAAAATCACACACGGCCATGATATTTTGAGTGTGACAGTATTTCCTACCAAAATATGTTGGAGAGTCTGGCCTCGTAACCCGTGCATTAACATGTGTTCCATCAATGGCTCCGATACAATCCTGCCAAAAACCCTGTTAAATACACATTCACTTCAACATAAATAAATAAACATACAAAACTGTAATATGTTTTAGCACGTAATGGCAATTTTCTGACATTTTCTTTGCACTACTTCTCCTTCAGGTTTTAATTTTGACTAACAAACATCTCGTCAATAAAATAAACCGATTCTGTTACTACTTGTTAGGGTACTTAAAATGGCTGTTGTTCGAATGTTGATGACACCAAAAGCACTGGGTTTCCTACACTTCTATGGAAAATATTTGCCAAACATTAAAGTGAAATTAACTGAGTCATGTATGAAAGGTAGGCATTTCCGTTTAGATCGCACGTACAGATGTATAGCATTCTGACTATACGTTGGCTTGTAATGTGCAACAGTGAACTCCTTCATCACCGCTAAAACATTATGCACATGCCGGGACACTGTCTCCCCCTAATGTTGAAACCATTCTTGGATTTCGTGATTCTAATACCCTCTCAACACGTGAATAAACATTGCAACGCTTTCTTGAACGACTAAGCCATGTTCATGTTGCAGTACTTGTAAGCCGAAATCATTGACTAACGTGTCACACAAAGATGCAAACACGTCCTTCGGCATGACATGGCCCTGCATATAGTTCGGTTATCCATGCATGTCCAATCAAAATAGAAGTACGACATGGCTTTTTACACATATGTTTTTCATACCACTCTTGCACATACTGGGCTGCTTCGAGTAATGTCCAATTATTTGTTGTTGAAGCTGTATGACCATTTGGTTAAGCATTTCCATTATACCGTCATTGTTGCTGCTATCCCCGGTGTTCATCACATGAAATTTAGCGACACCTACAACATTAGGAACGATTCTAATCAGTTGACCTATGATGGACTGGGATAATGTAATAACAATTGTGAAAGACAACCAAATTGACCTGCAAACCTTATTTTATTGTATTGTACTGTCAAACACAGCTAACACTGCTACTATAATTGCATGTAAGAAGCTATGAACTCATAATAAAAAAACACAGAAACATATAGCAGTTAGTAATATACAAACCAATTTACTCTCGCTTGCATTACCAACAAAACCAAAATAACGGTACACAAATCTTTAAAAAAACATAAATAAATAAACAAACATGACATGATAGCCCGCCGTAGTGAATAATAAAAACAAGACAGAAGCATCTGGTGATATCATAAAAGCCGCACATAACTATGGAATAGTATGTCGAGCTAAGGAAAAAAAAAAAAAAAGGAAATAGAAAATGAAAACATCATAGAGAACCATTCTATTTATTACAAGTCCAACATCAACGGTACTTAAAATGTATCAACGACAACAAGAGAAGGCCATAGTCAGCTGCAACAAATGCTTTCATATCTGTCGGGCCCCGAATAGGTTCGCAAACGAGGCAGCAACACTGCATTGCAGTTATTTATGGATCAACCAGCCAATAATGTGGTCGTCATCAGGCTGGTACATCATCACCTCTCGGTAATCTGCATTGTCCATTAGTGTCGACACAAAATAGAATAGCTTGAGCCGGCGCATGCACTCTGAAATTGTGTACAGTGATTCGTTACCAGTGAGGTACCTGACAGTGACTTGCTGATTTTGGGTCCGAACCACGTTTGTCAAATTGTTTATGCTTTCCGCTATAATTGACGCACCACTACTTGTTGCCTTCTTCGACTTTGCATAACTTATTAACGGAGTCTGTTTTCTTTTCATCGTAGTTTCAACTGGTTCCATTGAAGAATCTTGTTCCACATCGGCTGCACATGCGAGGATCAGATCAACGAATGGCCGCAATCCTATACTGGCAACTAAATCGGATGAAACAACTGCAGGTTCAGCTACTGTCTCTCCCAGGGTCCAATGGTGCTTACCTGTATGACCGTTTCCATCAACTCATGGTGTTTCAAAAAAATTTTCCTAAACTTTACACATACCTTGTTTGTTTGAAAAATGAAAATTTCAAAACCACATTGTTATTACATGCAATATGAGTAATTTTTACTACTAACAGTCACAAATATAAATGGTAACCGAAATATATGAAACAAAACTAACATGCGTAAATATAAATTTACTTACCGATTCCATCATATCCCACCATGCATTAGACGCCTGAAACAAACCAGTTTCGCTGTCAAATCCAATCCCTGAGATGTCTTTGCTGGAATCCATCAACTTCTTCCAAGCATTCCATTTCTTTTTTAGACTCGTATATTTATTCTTCAACAATTTGAGCCCATGTTTTTTTCCATGTTTTTTTTTTTCCAAATTTCTTTTCCAATGACTTGTACCCAGTTTGGCTTAGGACTAGGAATGGGCGATTCCCTTTTGTAATCTCATCGGCAAATTAGTTGTAAGAAAATCCGGGTTGACTCACTATCCCAGGATGCCTTGTGGTTGAACTATTTTTGTGTTTCTTTAACACTGCTAGACTTTTTTGTTACAATGCCTTTGTTTTTCGAAGGGGTACGAGGGGAAGTACGTATGGAAGTCATTTGGACTGACTAAAAATATATGCAAAGTAATTTACGGGCCGAATTGATAAGAAGCACAAAATTACATGGGAATGACTAATATATAACAATTGCACAGTAATTAAAACCGATTGGTTGCTACGTTCACAATGTATAACTATTGCACAGTAATTAACATAAGAAAAGCAACACATAACATTCATGCAGAATGAGTGGTCACAGGAATACAAACAGTTGTTACATAATTTCGTTCCAGTAAAGTATTCCTTAACGTCTCCCTCAAACTATTTTACAAACCAAAGGCGAAAGTATATTGATTACAGTTAACATCATTACAAAAGTAATGCACTCCAAACACAATGTTTGATTATATATGCAACAACAAAATGACTACAACAATGCACAACACAAAGACAATGGTTTTAAGGAGACGCAACGAGTGTTGAATGTGTATGACATCATCTTGCAAGTGCATAACAATGTCATTTTTGGAGGACGTATAGTCCATGCTCTGTCTCCTTGGTTCTTCGCACCAACCAATCCAACTAACACAAGGCTGATGAGTGAAAATGCCGAATTTATTAGTCAATTGGTTCGGAATTAAATGCAATTATGGCCGTTATTGAATTAGGCACTCACCACAAGGCGAGGATAAGCAAAGTACGAACGCCCTGGATTTTTGTTGGATCTGAATATCTTCACAACACAATGATTGTAGCCACAGGCATACATCCGACGTGTCCAGGTTGTGGAAATAGCAGTTGAGGTAAAAGAAGCCATTCGTGTGTTTTCTGACAGTATAAATGACTACTACACTAAATATTGTTAAAACGTAGATGCGACATAATTCATAGTTAAGGAATTCATTATGTATAAAATGACAAATGTCCCCATTTGTTTGTAAAAACATGGGTTTTTACAAAACGAACTAATTTGACAAGTACAAATAATTTGACAAATACTAAACCAGAAGCGTGTAAATAATTCTAGTGCAATTCATATTATTTATGTATAGGGTTCAACTATAGTAACAACTGAAACGAAAAATCTTTTTGTTATAGTATGTTTCATAATAAATAACCTTTCATAAAAACCAATCTTTAACAAACAAATTTTACTACTCTGTTGTTATAGTCTGTTTCAAAAATTGTAACAAATGCAACCAAATAGTCTGTTTTGCTAGTCTATTGTATTCTAGTGCAATTCATAGTCTATTACTCATCAAATACATTAAGCATTAACCCTGTAATCGTATGTTTTAATACCTAAGTGAATATATAGTTATCTTAATCAAAACCTGATGAACATTAGAATGAGAGTAGGTTGAAAGTGAATGACATTTGGAAATGCGTATTACAAAAATTGTCAATGTCAGATTTTTTAGCCTTAACTCATAAAAACCAATTTTAATTCCCATCAACAATCAGATCACAATATGTAAAGCTTCCAACATCAACAACAATAACTACCAAAAAAACAAAAAAAACAAAAAATTGAAAAAAAAAAAGAGATGGAAAAAAAGGGGGAAAAAAATCACCAAAAGGGGGGGGACCCCATAATACATGTGTTCCACCAAATTTGACATTGAATCTGAAAAATAAAAATAAAAAATTGAACGACAGATGCAAATTCGTATTACAACAATTTTCATTGTCATAAACACCAATCTTAATTCCAATCAAGAAGCAAATGACAATATCTAATGCTTCCAACACGAACACCAATAACCACCAAAAAAGAGGGGGGGGGGAAATACATGTGTTCCACCAAATTTGAAATTAAATATAAAAAAATAAAATATTTGAAAGACAGATTCAGATTGGTTTTACAACAATTTTTAACGTCATATTTTTTACCCTTAACTCATAAAAGCCAATCTTAATTCCCATCAACAATTAGATCACAACACATAAAGCTTCCAACATCAACAACAACAACTAGCAAAAAGGGAAAAAAAAAAAAAAAAAAAGAAAGAAGATAGGAGTTCTACCCTCACCCTTTCAGATTTAATTTTCAATTTGCAGCAGATGATTTTATGTTCCTTATTTTACTGTTTTCCTATGTAATGTGGTTGGTCTTTTGCCAACCTTGGTGGTGTTCTCTTTGGTGTTATTGTATTTGGGCTCCTTTGGTCTACGAACATGATTGGCCTCTTGAGTGTGTGCCAAACTAGTTGGTATACTCTCTAGTGACATCATTGCAATCAATAAGCTAGAGGCTCGGTGTTTTGTACATTTTCCCACCTACATCTAATAAAATTTCTCTTTCTTAAATCATTAAAAAAAAGGTATCTCAGACATCCAAGGATGGATTGAAGCAACAGTATCTCTCAAGCCTAGCGAAGGCGAAAGATCTTAATTGGCCACCACAAATGTTTTGAGAAACAAGAATTAGATTTTTCATCATCAAAATTCTACATACAAGACCAAGCCAAAAAGATTAAAAACAAAAGCAAACAATCAATACAATAGATGCATTACTAACAGAACCTTCAGTCAAATAAATTTCAATTACAAAAATCGAGAGCTAAATCTAACAGAGAGATAATAAAGCAATGGAATGTTGGAACATAGATATTATATCAAGGAGTTGTACCACAAATGTAAGGAATATATTCAAGATAAATTTAACATCAAAGTAAATACATCAAACGCAAATCATTACATGTTTATTATTGTTGCAGCTGCAAAACATGATTAATTTCTAAAACATTTTATTCAAACTATTATATGAACAATTCCAGCAATGTACCTGTGGGGATATATTTTCTGAGTACCAACACGTGGCCAAGGTGACGCCGACGTGTCAGCCGAGGTGCCACGTGTCCTGGTCATGACGCCAAGGTGATCTCGGCAAGGCCGAGGTTATCTCCGAAGATATCAGAATCCGAGATAAGCGGATAAAGCACAAGAGTCCTAGAATGGAAGAAGACTTCAGCTTGGGTAAATATGAGACTCTTAGAGAGTTTATCCTAATTCTACTAGGAGTCCAAGATTAGCAATAAATCCTAAGTCCATTAGAGCTAGGCTTCTATTTGGGACTAGGATTGTGTTGGCTATAAAAGGGAGGCACTCCCATGAGTCTAAGGTATGCTTTTGATATTCTGTCTAGTGAGTTAAGCACTATTGGTTATCTTTGAGAGATATTGAGTACGACTTGATCGTCGGAGTGCTCCCGGGTGGACGAACCACCGTCGGGATCTTCTCTTTCTGTTGCAGGTCAATCAAGTGTCATTGATTCTGCCAGTGCTCTCCAGCTGGTACCTGCTTGATAGTGTGGTCGGAAATTGACACACACAATTTGGCGTCGTCTGTGGGAATGAAAGGAGAATAGATGGCCAACGACAGATCGAAAGAGAAGGTTGGGGACGACACCCCTACCGAGAGTAGGAAACATATTGACCTTCGAAGAAGACAACTACAACAAAGAAACTCGTGATAAGAATCATGGAGAAGAGGACGTCGGCTAGGAGGGTGACGTGCCGAAGAAATCAGACCGAAGCGAGCATTATAAACGAGGACGACCTCTAGGTATGGAAAGAAAGATGCTTACGAAGGGACGACGAGATGAAGGGAATGGCGCACAAATTGGCGGACCTGCAAACGGTTGTCAATTTCATGATACAGAACAACATTATGCAGCCACCGTTCCCGTTACAAGAAACGCCGATTCCAGCAGCCAAAAGCCAGTAGTAAAGCTGCACCAAGCGCAGCAGCATCAAATGCTCCATCAAAGCCTAACCCTAAAGCTACCGGGAAAGAGCCTGTGAGGCAAGGTCGAGTGTTCGCACTAGTACCGGGAGATGTGCAGAATACCGAGACCGTTGTGTCAGGTATTCTCTCTATTTGTACACAAAATGCATATGTATTGATTGATTCGGGGTCTACGCATTCTTATGTATCATATGCTTTTTCACGGAAATTGGATAGACCCTTAGAGCCTATGAACTATCTGCTAGCCGTATCATCACCCATAGGGGGATCTATGACATGTGCTTATATGTACCCCGCATGTGAAATCCTTGTTGGGGATATGCATCTGTTTATTGATTTACTGCCATTGAACATTGATCATTTTGACGTAATATTGGGGATGGATTGGTTACAAAAATATCATGCCACTATTGACTGTGTGACCAAGCAAGTTGTTTTCCGTCCACCTGGTTTGCCTGAATTTGTGTTTAATGGGAGTGGAGTAGTACCTCCTCCGTATTTGATTTCATCTGTGAAGGCTGTTAAACTGATTAGGAAGGGCTGTAAAGGATATCTGTGTTCTGTACTGACTGTGTCTACTGATGATAGTATTAAAACTGATGTGAATTGTATTCCTATAGTCAGAGAATTCCCAGATGTTTTTCCAGATAATCTTCCAGGAGATTTGACTGACAGGGAGATTGAATTTACCGTTGATGTGATTCCCGGAACACAACCAGTTTCTAAAGCTCCATACAGAATGGCTCCAACTGAACTGAAAGAATTAAAAGTACAACTGCAGGAACTGCTGGATAAGAAGTTTATCAGACCTAGCACTTCGCCATGGGGTGCTCCTGTTTTTACAAAACGAACTAATTTGACAAGTACAAATAATTTGACAAATACTAAACCAGAAGCGTGTAAATAATTCTAGTGCAATTCATATTATTTATGTATAGGGTTCAACTATAGTAACAACTGAAACGAAAAATCTTTTTGTTATAGTATGCTTCATAATAAATAACCTTTCATAAAAACCAATCTTTAACAAACAAATTTTACTACTCTGTTGTTATAGTCTATTTCAAAAATTGTAACAAATGCAACCAAATAGTCTGTTTTGCTAGTCTATTGTATTCTAGCGCAATTCATAATCTATTACTCATCAAATACATTAAGCATTAACCCTGTAATCGTATGTTTTAATACCTGTGTGAATATATAGTTATCTTAATCAAAACCTGATGAACATTAGAATGAGAGTAGGTTGAAAGTGAACGACATTTGGAAATGCGTATTACAAAAATTGTCAATGTCAGATTTTTTAGCCTTAACTCATAAAAACCAATTTTAATTCCCAAAAACAATCAGATCACAACATGTAAAGCTTCCAACATCAACAACAATAACCACCAAAAAAACAAAAAAACAAAAAATTGAAAAAAAATAGATGGGAAAAAAAGCGGGAAAAAAATACCAAAAGGGGGGGGGACCCCATAATACATGTGTTCCACCAAATTTGACATTGAATCTGAAAAATAAAAATAAAAAATTGAACGACAGATGCAAATTCGTATTACAATAATTTTCATTGTCATAATTACCAATCTTAATTCCAATCAAGAAGCAAATGACAATATCTAAAGCTTCCAACACGAACACCAATAACCACCAAAAAGGAAAGGGGGGGGAAATACATGTGTTCCACCAAATCTGAAATTAAATCTAAAAAAACAAAAAATATATATATTTGAAAGACAGATTCAAATTGGTTTTACAACAATTTTTAATGTCATATTTTTTACCCTTAACTCATAAAAGCCAATCCTAATTCCCATCAATAATCAGATCACAACACATAAAGCTTCCAACATCAACAACAACAACTAGCAAAAAAGGAAAAAAAAAAAAAAAAACATATAAACATATGTTGCACCAAATATGAAATTGAATCTGAAAAAAAAATTACTAAGAAAAGATCTAAATTTCAGTCCATAAACAGGACATGTACAGAATGGTTTCAAAAAAAAAAAAACAAAAGACAAAATTTCCCATAAATCGGCATATACCGAAGTGAAAAATGAAAGAGTTCGACCAAAAAAAAGCAACATACCACGGATGAGGGTAATTTTGGAGAGCAATTTTGTACAGATAAACAAAACACATGTGTTTAACCAGAGTTTATGCAACATCCAAATCCTATCGGGGTTTTCTCAAATGCCAAACAAACAAATAACATCCACACTCCAAAATTTTCGTTTTTAATCAAAACCACAATAGATCGGGTTAAAGGAGATCAAACCAACCGAAAATTAAAACAAAATTTGTGTACCTGAGGATCGGTGGTGGCGAGGAGGCGATGGTTGCAGTGTCGCCGCCGATGTGCAGTCCAGTGGGCTTGGGCTATGGACAACGTCAGTTGCTGTTCTTTTTGGCCGACGACACTCTTCAATTTTCACCTCCTTTTTCGACAACAGAAAGCCCTACGTGAGGAAAAGTGTTTGGCTTGGTTTGGTGCTGTTGTACACAAACGGATTGGCAATGGGGGTACTTTGGTAATTTACACAGACCCTAAAACCACACCAAAAGTACATGACTCTTTTTTGTCTATTCTGGCTACTTTAGCCTGTTTTGGACGTTTGTGACTAATTTAGCCCAAGTTTGTCTTGCCAAACGAGCTCTTAATTTTTTTGAACCCCTAATTCTCACTTTTTTTTATTACAATTATACCCTAAAATAAAATTATTTTGTGTGTTTTGTTTGAGTTTTTTGGATTAAGTTTTTTGAAAATTGAGTTTTTTGTTTTTCATATTTTTTTGTTTTGTTTTTAGTGAATAGTTTTAAAATTTTAAACATTTATTTATTTATTTTTTAGATACACCTTATTTAGATGTATCTAAAAAGTAAAAAAAATTGTGAAAAAATATTTTAAACAATTAATAAATACATAAAAATATAAAAAATATACTGAATTCTCGTATTTTTTTTTTGTATTTTTAGTATTTAGTGAATTTTTAAATTTTTTTTTTATAAAAATTATACTTTTTATGTGTATTTATGTTAGGTGTGTCTAAAATTTTTTTAAAAAAAATTGCTTAAAATATTAAAAAAATCAGTAAAGACAAAAAAACACGAAAAACAACAAAGTAGAATTTTCTGAAAAGTGTATTTGAAAAACCCAAAACAAGCAAAGTGAATAGGTTTTTTTGGTAACTTTTTGACTAAAGTATGATGTTAAAAAAAAAAATAGTATATTTAGGATGACTTTTTGATTGTTTACAAAAGATGTGTAAAAAGCAGAGAGAAAATGAAATCTTTGGCTCTGTTTAGAATGATTTCCAAACTATATTTCTATCCCCACATTCTAACATAATGTTTGGATACCACACTCAAATCACATTTCCACAACATTTACAAAACTCTGCACAAAACTCTGTCTGAGACGCAATTTTCAATTTTTTTTTTTCAAATTTGGCCTAATCGGTCGTCCTACCGGTTGTTCGGCTGGTTGACCGGAACGACGCAAATTTTTTTTTTTTTTTTTTTTACAATTGACATATGTTAATTTTTATATATTCGAAATAAATATTGTCCAAATTTTTAATTTTTTTTTATGTGCTTTAATAGAATTTTGAGTTGTATGTTTGGTTATAAGTTACAAGTTTTTGTATCAAATATTATATGTCACATCAAAAATTGCTCACTCAATTCAAAACTCTTTCACTAAACAAATTTTCCACACTCAAATCATAATTTTAAAACTCACAAACTCAAAATACAACTCATACTCTCAAATCATATTTACAAAACTCTACCAAATGCAACTTTTGACTGTTTGGTATAAGTTGTTGGTTTTTTTTATTTTTTTAGTGACTTTTTGACTTTTAGATTAAAAAGTAATGTTGCCAAACGAGACATAAATAACAAGTTTTAATGGAACACTCACCTACTAAATGAAAACAATTAGAATGACACTTTACAATATTGCACACTCACTTTCATCCCCCTCTATACGTATTCTTTACCAACTTAAACCTTAACCATATTCTTCTTCATCACCATCCTAAACCCACATATTCATCTTCAATGAAAAACATTTGAAACCTCCTAACTAGTTAAAGTTTTGTTTGGTGGTTTCAAATCTGTTTAGTGTTCCAAATCAGTTAACATTGCAAACAATCCTATCACAGAATCCGAGTTTCTACATTTGTGGTCGTTTTCACCATTTGTTAATACTTATAGAGCAATGGAGGATGATGACAACAACTCTAATGGGGTTGGCGTTGCATTTGTAAGTTTATCTATCTTACATTTACGATTTTGGGTCATTTTCGGTTCAATACTGATTAGCCGGTTGTTAAGGTTTTTGTTCAGTAATATAGTGCTGAAACTAAAACATTTAATTCAATAATATAACTCTGAACATAAACATTTTGTTCGACACTGAAATGCCAAACGATTCCATTTTGTAGGATTTTTTTTTCCATATTTCTGTTTTTAATGAGGGTTTTTTCCCTTTAAAATCCCTTGCGTCAAGGGTTTGCCTTGAAATATATATATATATATATATATGTGATGGGGAGTTGGAGGTTACTTGAAAGAAGAAGAAAGAGACTATCGAAGAGATTTTTGACTGAGATACCATCGTTTGTGGTGACAAGAAAAAAGAGACTATCGTTTATGAGAGAAAGAGAAGAGAGGGATAATCAATTCGTCTCTCAATTGTTTATTATTCTCAATAGTCTCTTAATCGTTCATTGTTTACTGAGAGAAGAAAACGAGGGGTGTGCATAATTAAGTGGGTGTGCACTTGGGTGTGATGATATTATGAATATGGGTAAAATTAGTATTAAGTGGAGTGTTTAAAGAAATATTATTAAAATTTAGGTTTTAAGGGGTTCAAAGAAATTGAGAGTCTAAAAAAATTAGGTAAGTGCTAATAGTAGCCCTCCAAATTTATTTTGAATAACAAATTAATTTTTTTTCACTTTTACCCACGACAACTGAATTGTTAGTTTTCAATCGCTGAAAAAGTTGTCGGAGGTAGTTGGTAGTGGCAATCAACGGTGGCTAGTAGTGGTAATATAGATATATAGGTGACGTGTGGACAAATAGACAAATAAGTAAAAATAATAGTGTGTTTGGTTTGAATTTTTTGGATTAAGTTTTTTGAAAACTAAGTTTTTTGGTTTTTGTGTTTTTTTGTTTTTAGTGAATATTTTTAAATTTTTTTTTTATTTTTTAGATGCACTTTACTTAGATGCATCTAAAAAGTAAAAAATTTGTGAAAAAAATATTTTAAAAAATTAATAAATGCATAAAAATATAAAAAATGTACTAAATTCTCGTATTTTTTTTTTTGCATTTTTGGTATTTAGTGATTTTTTAAAAGGTTTTTTTCACAATTTTTTTACTTTTTAGATATATTTATATTAGGCATGTCTAAAAATTTTAAAAATTGCTTAAAATATTAAAAAAATTTAATAAAAACACAAAAAACACAAAAAACAAAAAAATAAAATTTTTTGAAAAGTATTTTTAAAAAAGTTTAACCAAGCACAGTGATTATCTTTCAAATTATTATTGTAGCCTTGTTTGAGATGAGTGATTTTGGCTAAAATAGTTAATAAAAATAAAAATACTAAAATGGTCCAAAAAAAATGTAGCAACCTACACGTCAATCAACCAACTTTCTCTCTCTCATAATAATCTATTAAACTATAAAAAAATTTCACAAATCATAAAAACGCAACTTTTTTCTATTTCATAAAGGCCTTGTTTGGCTAGAAATTATTTGACTAAAATAGTTAATAAAGACAAAATATGTTAAAATAATTAATAAGATAAAATATCATATTTAACCTATAATTATTTTATTTTTTTCTTCCATAATTATCAAATTAACTACAAAAAAACAAAAAAAACAAAAACCAAACTATCATCCAAACCATGGCTTTCTTTTAACCAGATTAAAAAGTTAAAAAATCAAATAACCAACTAAATTACTTATTCTTAAACATGACTAAATAAAATAGTTGAAAAGTTAATTGAAATAGCCAAATTCCCAAACAACACCTACATTTGTGGTGTGAAAAATTAAAGTATGAGATTATTGCTAAAAAAATTTAAAATAAAATTTATGGTAAAAACTCATTTTCTTTTATTTAATTTTATTATACATGTATATATTAATACTATTATTTAGTGAAAGCTTAAATTGGTTTAGTAAAATTTTCTAATTCTTATGACATGTGATAACTTTATATATATTAAAATAAAAAAATTATTATATAGCGTGTAAATAAATTTTGAACCCAAAATTTTAAATTCAGCGTTTGGAAAGGATTTTTTTGGTTTTTTTTACTAAAAGACAAATTAGTTACACGTTTGGAAAGGATTTTTTTGGTTTTTTTTACTAAAAGACAAATTAGTTACAAAAAAAAAAAAGAAGCAAATCTAAACAAAATATCACATCAAACCCCATACTCATTTTATTTTTTCTGAAACAAACATCACATTTAACTATAAAAAAACCCAACTATCTTTCCAAACACAAAAACATTTTTGTCTAATAATATCCTACAACTAAATTTTTTTTAAAAAAAAACTCACTTTCCAAACCCCCCAAAATCTGAATCGCATACTTATCGTATATTAATTTTATTTAACAAATATGAAATTCATACACTCAATCCACGCCCATTGTAGTATAAAAACGCATTGAAGTGGAAAATGGCCCTATCTTCGCTCCAGATCTGATCCTAACACCAGACACAACACAGGTCACTCCTCTTTCTCTCTCTACAATCTCTCTCTACAATCTCCCTCTGGTCTCTACAATTTCAATTTTTGCTTTGCTAAAACTGTGTATTCCTTTCAAATCATATGCTCATTTCATTTGGATCTGTACGAACCAACAAAAATTGTGTTCTTCACGATATGGTGTTTAATTTGATTTCTATATGATAATGAGGTTTAACAATTTTTGTTTTTATTTTTTTAAAATTTGTTTCTCTGATGTGTGTTAGGGTTATTAGCTTTTGCTAATTTCGTGTTTTGACAATGTGATTTTGTTGTCTTGAAAAATATCAGGTAGTAGGATGTGCGAATCATGTGAATTGGATCGGAGTTTTAAATCGTTTTTGTTTTCATTCATTTGTTTTTAATTTTAATTTTAATTTTGTTTAGTTTCATCTGTTTTTGTGTAACAGTTTTTTGAAAATTAGAACACAAGTTTTTAGGTGTTTGCTAAAAACTGGGATTCAAAAAAATAAAATAAAAATCCAACAGTGTGGCAAACAAGTTTTTTGGGAAATGAAAACTAAAGACAGAAATTGAAAATGATACTGAACAGGTTTTATTTATTTATTGACATTATGTCACTGGATCATGTGAACCTTTCAATTATGGTCATATAACTCTAAATCTTAATCCAGTATGCATTTCCTGAATGAATGTTGTTTGCCCAAAATCAACATATTCCCCTGTTGTAATTTTTGTAATTTTGGCACATACAACTACTCTATTGATGCAATTCCAGTAAAGCCTTGTTTGGGAAGTAATAGTTTTAGTCTAAAAGTCAAAAAGTTACTAAAAAAAATCAAAAAGCATATAACCTATACCAAAAAGTCAAAGATTTCTTTTTTTCTCTATTTTTTGTATATTTTTTCGTAGAAAACTAAAACGTCATTCTAAACATACAAGTTTCTTTTACCTCATATTTTAGCAAAAAAGTCAAAAAGTTATTAAAATGGCCTGTTCCCCAATGAGGCCTAAGCATTAAGAAGATTTTGATAGGCTGGTTTGTTTTTGTGAATGGTGGTTTTATTTAGTTTGATATTATACTTGCTTAAGTAAGTATTGACATAAAGTAGTCAAGAATGGATACACCCATCTCAAGATAGCATTATTGCCTAAGATTGATGACATATGATACCACATCACACCTGTTATCTGGCATGGCCGCCAATGTTGCACGCTTATGCAGCTGTGAGAATTTTTTCGAAAGGCATCATGATTACTAGTGAACTTGGTTGATTAGGGATTTTTTCATGGTATGCCTCTGATTAGGCCCATATAAGCATTTTTTTTTTTATATCAATCCTTAAGTGATGAGTTTTCAGCTGAATAATGACATGGAGCTCATAGGCACCTTATGCATAAAGAATAGTTTCTAAGCATGACAGACATTTTTATCCAAGCTGAGTTCCTCATGCTCATCTGTGGACTGTGTGGTCCATGAATTACTAGATTTGTTGCAGCTGTTTTCTACTTGCTATGTGTTACGCTCACCTTATTTCTTTCATTAGCTGCATCGAAATTTCTGCAGGGTTAGGGGTTTTATTTACATATTCAGATCAGATTATGGGCCGTGGGGTCAGCAGCGGTGGGGGACAGAGTTCCCTTGATTACCTTTTCGGAAGTGGAGAGGCTCCAAAAGCCACCCCAAAGAATGCTGAAGCTCCTCAGAGTTCAGTACAGGTTGCAAGCAATGAACCTTCTCAGAAGCCTGCGGCTGCTGCACCACCAGTAGATGTTACTAAGCAGATTCCAGCTGGTATTCAAGGAAATGCTGGAAACAACTATTTTCGAGCTGATGGACAGAATACTGGAAACTTCATCACGGTATGATCTCAGTCACAGCTATGTCTTGCTGCTGGTCATGCAAGTTCTATATTAGATGCTTCTTGTATCAGCTGTTACATAATAGGATTTTGGCTTTTTGATACCGTTATTCACTGACACTGTCCGATACCATGCTCTCTCGGCCGATATATGATTGTATGACCTATCCCGATGCATATCCCGATACCATTATTTAAAACTTTGCATCATAGTCTTGACCGGAGATTTTAGACATCATGAAGTGCAAATTTTATTTAGGGTGGACTATTTTGGTTTTACCAAAAAAAAAAAAAAAACTTTGCTATGCTGCCATTTCGAAGGTGGTCAGGTATACAGATGGATGATCCCTATAGATATGAAATATGGAGCATGACTTTGGAAGTGTGAAATCAATCTAAGATCATGGGAACTTGTGGTTGCCATTAGCAATGAAGATCATTGTAGTACATTGCATTTTTTTTTGTTTGGATCAACAACAAAATTTTATTGATTAATCAAAAAGAGAAGAAATGAGGATAAGGCATCCTCTACAAGTAAGAAAAACAAAGGAAAAAAAAAATAACCCAAACGACTATATCAACAAAACTCTACTTGTCACACACCGCCAACCAATCTCTAGCTGGCAAAAACAGTGGAATCCCCCTAAAAAGAGGATTCACCGAAGCCCAAAATGAAGTTAAGTAGCGTTATCTTTCTTCCTTCTTGTGATCAATTCTTATATCTCCCAGAGTAGAAAATATGATGATATTTTAGAGCATTGTTGCCCACCTTTCGATAGTCTTATTGTCGGGTGGCTATCATTTATTATCCTTGTGTAATAGGCTATACGACCTTTGCCACCTGACTCTCCTAGCATGCACTGTGGCTACAATATTTGTTCATATATCCAATTTCAATACTAGGGACAGCTTTTCCATTTTGTCCTTCACATTCACGTTTCTCACATAAAAACTAATTTTGAGGCCGATGGTAAATATTGTTATGAATGATATGCTTCAACTTGAAGTAATAACACCAGTGGATGTTACAAGGAAGTTGAAGAAGCCACCAAGATTGTCAATATCCTATCTTGTCCTCATCTTATAAATTTGTATGTAAGAAGGCTTACCAAATTGTATGAACATTAAGTTCACTGACAGCAGAAAATTACTGACAGACCTTGGAAGCATATAAATGTACTTCTTGGAGAATTTCATTATATTGATTTTAGATCACTATGTACCATTTTCCATACATATAAGAAAGAAAAGCATGTAGATTAGGAAAGAAAGAAAATGAAAAAGAAGAGATATCTCAGCTCGATTTAATCTTTTAGGTGCCTTTGAAAGAAGAGATACCATTTTCCACTCTGTGTTTGGAAAGCTGTTATTTACTGACTAAGTTGGAATAAGACAGAATAAGCATGGGATCTGCAGTTTCTGTGGCCAGCAAAACTTAACCACAATATTCAAAATATCGATCGTGTGTTTTGCTGCAAAAAAAAAAGAAGAAACATTTCCCGCCTGTGTTAATCTTTGAACAGTCTTCTTTCTAACTTTTTAATGTTTGATTGTATTTTATTGTGACCACAAATTTCCTTTTCGATGACTTTTGCAATGTTTTTCTGCACAGGATCGGCCTTCAACTAAAGTCCACGCGGCCCCAGGTGGCGGATCTTCCCTGGGCTACCTGTTTGGCGGTGGCAGCAGCAACTAATGCTGTGTTCTTTGAAAGGATAAAACAATTGCTTACTGTTTGTTTGTCCAGGTTCCATTTGAAGTTTGGGGAAAACAATATTTTCTTATTCTTGTCGCTGCAGACATCTGAGTTCCATGTAATATAATCTTGTCCTTGTTCAAAATGTTGTAAAGTTTGATGCATTGACAGTCGGAGACTACCCACCTTATCAATTGTTAATTGATTAAGTTTGTTTCGTGTCCTATTAATTTGTGTGTCGCGTGTTCAGAAGTTTACAGAATGCACTGCCATGATGTGGTGATTGGCGGTCCACTCAGGAACCAAATGCAGTTGGGCGACGAGGGATAAATTTGAAGTCCATGTTTCCTGCTGTTAGGAAAGTGGTTTTGAGGGCTCAGCTAACTTCTTTAGTTGTAGAGACTAAAGAAATAAAAAAATGATATTGTTTTTGAAAATTCTATTTTTGAAAATAGAAAAACAGAAATTGGCATAAAAAAAAGTAGTAGAAGACACTGCTACAGGCTTTAAAAATCCAAGTAACTGTAAAAGAACAGTTCTATTCCTATATATGTATAACTATTCCAGGCTTCAAAAATCTGTTTTTTTTTCTGTAAGGAATCATGTTTCTAGATAGTTTGTTTGGGCAGTGAATGATTTATAATTTTTATATTTTTTTTTATTCTTTTTCTAAAAATAAAAAATACACAAAAAGCAAGAAACTCAAATTTCTGAAAAGTGAGTTAACCAAATTTTAGAAAACAAAAACAGTTACTAGGACACCCAATTCTATTTTCAACTCAGTGTTGGCAAAACCTAGAAACGAATATTAGTTTAAATGAGTGATGGTAACATTTTATTTTTTATTTTTAGATGCTCGAGATGGTAACCTTTACTATACTACCACTACTACTAACTCTGGCAAGACATTCATTGCAGTTATAAACTCACGAGGAGCAACTGTTGTTGATTTCAGTAATTTATGACCGAGTTGAATTTGAAGCAGTTAGCGTTAAGTACTAGATAAAACGACGACATTACTACATACAATTACAGAGCATATTATGGATATTAAACCTACTGCAGAAATGGAAGTCGGAGCATGAGCGTGCCGCTAATCCCCACCAGTTTGGAAGAACAGTTTCTGTAATCACCTGTGACGAAGAATGTACAACGGCTGGTCTTGTTCTTCAAGTTAAGTCCTAAAGTCGCCTCAAAATGATATTATCACCGAGTGCTTCAAAGTGATTGCACACCGGATCATTTTTAATCAAGGAACCATCCTCTTCAGCAGTCAATGCTCTGCCCTCTGCCAACAAACAGAAAAACAAGTTTCAATATCAGAGAGAGAGAGAGAGAGGCAAACAAGTTCACCAGAATGTTAGAGACGCATGCTCATTTGTGCCTCTGTTCCATTTCACGCTAAGATCAAGATTATCACAGTTGTATGAATACGTTTCACCAATCAAAACATGACTACTAAATGCATCGAACTGCATTTGGCAGCCCAAGAATCCAAAATACTTCATTTCTGTCCAGTTAAACAAACGCATAGCGAAGCAACCAACCATGGAATTATATGTCAAAAACCAAGAGGCAGCCCAACCAGTTGGATAGTTTTGAGTTTGTAAAATTATAATATGTATGGCATACGAAATTCTAATTGCATGTGTATATGCTTGAGTAAAGGGATGTATGCCACAAAACTAACCGATGTTTCGTCTGTTTTTACCTAGGGTTGGGAACAAAGTGATAGTCCTTGTCTGCTGAAGATGGATTCTCTTTATGGACTTCCATGCTGGAATTTGGTGCGATGCCTGTCTCATTATCTTCCACATTTATGTCAGCCACCACCGGCACTTTTAAGTTTCCAGCATCCTGTTAAAAGGTAGAATGTGAAAACACAAATTCCAAGCATTCCTCATAATAATAAAACCTTAATTGTGGGCAAATTTAGGGATGATACTTCAGGGATCTCTAGCATTACTCAAAAGTAAAATGCACCAAATTGGATCCTTCTACAGTAACAAACATCAACCATAAAATGCTAACATCTTGAACTATTCTTTTCCTGTGCTGTTTTCTGGATGGAGGGCTATTTCCAACTAAAAGTACGCTGATTGAAGGTGAAAGCCACCAAGATACAGATGGCTGTGATTCAGATCAGATGCTTAAACTACATTTCATGATATACTGGCAAGACTATGTCATCACGTAAGTGGCAACAACCACCTCATAAGTCATACCAATTGAAATTACATTTTTTCCCTAGCTACCCAATTGCAGTGAGCCACATCACTTCACTTCTAATCAGTCTTTACTCCAAAAGATTAACTAGATCAAAAATACTGATATGGGCTTGACTGCTGTAAGAACTACCAAAACACAAACCAATAATTGCATAAAATTGAATGCAACAATTTTTACCTTCTTGGCAGTGTGTTTCAGGTTTCCAGAAGTGACTTGTCTTTTTATGTTTTGGTGATACCCAGAAGTGACTGCCAAGTGCAAACAAAACTGGTAATCTAGGTGCTTGAAATCGCTTTGTAAGTGCTTCAGTAACACCCCCCATATGATTTTTCCCTCTTTATTTTGTTTTTCAATAGAAATAACACTGCTCGAAATATATAGTCGTCTTAAAATCCCCATTCTCCATTCTACCTTACTCTCACTTCATTCACATCAAGCAATGGTGATGATCAAAGGAGATTTTCCTTTTTCTCGTTCTTTTTTTTCAATAAATAAGCAAACTTTATTAGAAAAGCATCAAGGCGATGCAAGGAATGCAAAAAAGAAATAGCCCACAAATGGGTCTGGCAAAACTAACTAATTAAATCCTCCACAAAATCTATAAAACCAAAACATCAGGGTCAATCGAACCTGTAACCCAACTATGCCAAACTAACAAAAGCCTACTCTCTAACCAAGAAATTGAATGACACATTTCAAAAAACTCGCTTATTATGCTCCAACCAAATCAACCAAAGCAAACAGTGAGAAGCAAATAACCAAACCTTCCGATGCCTCTTCCCAACCCTAGCCCCACCCCAACTCTGTAACACACCCAGCACAGACCCCAGTTGTACTCAGACCAAACCAAACAAAGCAACAATCAAACTTCACAGTTGAGACCTAACCGGACAATAAACAAACAAGTGATCCATCATCTCCGCATCCTCGCAACACGTACAACACCAATTCACTAAAATATGCCGCCGACGAATGAGGTTGTTGATAGTCAAAATGCAGCCCAAAGCTGCTATCCAAACAAAAAAAGCTACCTTAGAAGGTGAACCTGTACCTGATATGCACTTCTAAGGAAAAACAACACCATCACCACCAACAAGCACACAGTAAAACGAAGATATTGAGAAAACCCCTTTAGATCTCAGACAATCCCACACTAGAGAATCCACCCATCCTTCACTCCATACAAGAATCCTAGAAGATCCACTAACTGACCCACCTCCCAATCCTGAACATCATGACGAAGATGAATGTTCCATACAAACGATTGACCTTTGCCTAACCCTAACTGAAGCAACCATTTCCTCCTTATCAACAACAATGGCAAAAATCAAAGGGAACATTCTTGCCAAAGGCAAAGCACCATACCACCTATCATGTCAAACACGACCCTTATCCCCCACCCCCACTTTAAACCAGACTCTGTCCCAAAACTCCTTACAACCCAACCAAATCCCTTTCCACATACCTTCGCCATGAGATTGGGCCACCCTTTTCAAACACCACCCCCCTTTTTCTAGCCCATACTTCGCCGCCACCACCTTCCTCCACAATCTCTCCTCCACAAAACGCCACAACCACTGTCCCAAAAGAGCCCAATTAAACACAATCAACTTTCGAACTCCCAAACCCCCTCTCTTCTTTGGGCTACACAACTGCTCCCAAGCCACCAAATGATAATGAAAGACCTCCCTTCCATTACCCCACAGGAAATCTCGTTGCAACTTCTCCAAACGCTTAGCAACTGCCATCGAAATCACAATAAAATATGTCAGAATACTAGAATCAAAGGAGATTTTTCCATTCACCAAAATGGAAATTAACCTCGATTCATTCATTTTCATCCATAATACTCATAAATCTCTATTTAGTTTGAAGTGTTTTGATTAGCTCCAATTTTTACACTATTTACTAAAATTGGATTTGGAGGCCATGGTTCAAACCTCATTGCCTATCTAGGAAAAAAACAACATTGAATGAAATCGGATGGTTGGACAATTTTACAAATGTTTTGTGGCACCATCACTTAGCTAGACGCACAATCTATGATGACCCCAACACGCATATCATAATTTTAATTATTTAATTGAGTGTTAATTTTTAATTGTGATATGTGTTTTGTGATTAATTTGAGTATATCTGTCTGATTTGAAAACTACCTATTATGATTTCTGTTCAGAATTCGAAATTTAAGGCTTAAATGATATCAGAAATTGAAATTGGCAACATATAAATTAAGTTGTGTTTAATTAGCCTAATGTTCTAATTAATGTATTAAGCTATCCTAGCTATATATATGTGTTATAAGTTCATTCTTTCTTCATTTGAGTGCAAAATTCTGAGAGAACATTTTAGAGAGAGAGTGTAGAGATTGAAGAAGAACTTGAAGATTTTGCTAGAGGAACCTAGATTGTGCAAGAATAGGAGTAATTGAAGGCTCTAGGTGAGTTTTGTACCCTCATTCTTGAAGATGAGTTGAGTTCATGGAGTAGATATGATCATTTGCATGTATTTTGTTAAAGAATGTCAAGAAAGTGTTGTAGCTTCACATGCACGCATGAATATGTTCAGTTTTTGCCATTTTGAGTTTGGTTTTGTTCATCATTATTTTGAGAGTTAATTTGTACATGCATCTTTGATTCATCATGTTTTAACTCTTAAATTCATGTTTTGGAAAGGAGTTTCTTACTTGCATGGAGCTTTTGAGCTCAATTTTGTTATATATATGAGTTTTGGAAAAAGAGTTAGAAAAATCTGGCATCCATGAACTTTTGAGTTCAATTTTGGTTGAAACAGAGAGATTTTGAACAAATGGTTTTTAAGGGTTATGTATATATGTTTTCTGTAATTCTATGCTTTTGAACAAGCCATGCATGACCCAATGCTTTGAATTGATGTTTGGAAGCTCAAATTCTCAGTTTTGAAACTCAAAATTTTGACAGCCCACTTGAGCGACCAAGAGGTGGCTTGAGCGAATTTTGCGAGTTTCCAGCATCTTTGCAGTCTTTGTAGACCGCTCGAGTGACCAAAGGTTGGCTTAAGCGAATTGAGTGTATGCTTTGCATCCGCTCGAGCGAAGAAGAGTTGGCTCGAGCGCACATCAAACCTATCTAGTATTTTTGCAGACCTCTGTGACCGCTCGAGTAACCAAAGGCTAGTTTGAGCGAAGACCTTGTTTCAACATATTTTGAAAAGATGTTTTGTGTTTGTATTTTCATCCTCATGTTTTTTGAGCATTCTTAGGCATGACATATGACTCATTGAGAATTAATGAGTAAGAAACCAACATGAGGAATTGAATTAGAAAAGATAAGAAGAGATTCGATTCGAATGTGTTACAATGTGTATGGTCATGTGAAACGTGTAGGTTCGAACGTGGAGGAAGAATATCAAACTAGTCAAGGTGAGTAATGTCTTTGTAAAGATATTTTTGTATAAGCTATTTTGAAGTTGGTTTCGCTATACAGTGAATTATGAAAATCTATACTTTGTTACAAGTTATGAGATATAACAAGTTTACCGAATAAGTACTTTTCAGATGCTAAGCTATGCTTTGAAACCCTGAATTGTGTACGATATGATATGTTTTCCCAAAATGAAATTTTCTAAGAATGAATGAGTTGTGTCAATATGGAAAATGTATTTTGATCTCTGTTAGCTTTTGTTCTGCCTTTGATCCGTCATATACATTCTGTATAAGCTATTGACCCGTTATAAACGTTCCGTATGATGTCGATCTTTATCGATTAATCGTCTACACGTAATTGACATTCCGTATGAGTCATCCAAGTGGGCGTTCCATATGATCTCATTAGTAATCGTTCCATATGGTATTTACACGTAAAAGACGTTCTGAATGAGTTCATCAAATGTATAAGTCATCAAAGTGATGTTCCATATAAATCATTAAGTGTGATGTTTTGCATGAGTCACCAATATCGGCGTTTCGAATGAAGTAATTCTATATGAATGTTCTGTATGGTATTTCGACAAATTAAATAAGGCTTTTGAGCACTACGCAATGTGTTAAGCTATGAAAGGTTTGGTGAACTGTATTTGTTATTATACGTTTCTGAAACATGCTTTGATTATGTTAAGAACTTGTATTGTTTTGATAAGTTATGGAACTCATTCATTTAACCCCCTTTATATTGAGATTATTCATTGGGTTTCCAGCTCACCCCATTTATATATATGTATGTAGGTGAGCATCCGAAAGTCCAGCATTAGAAGCTGCTTTGGAGTCAATCCTTTTTGTAAAGCCACCCGAGATACGCCTCCACGTTGAGGACTTAGTTTCTATTTTGGCCAAGCTCGTAAAGCTTTGGTTTTGTATAATTCGTTTGTTTTTAGTTTTGATCTTGGGTTATGTGTAAAAGATAAATGTTTGTAAATATTGTGGTATGATATGTGAAGTGTTTTATTTATTTCTGTTCATAGCATGTATGCACAGCTCAATAGACAATTTTATATTTTGCTTCCGCTTCAAGCCCCGTACCTTTAATTATATATTTTGAAATTCTGTCTATTGAGGTCAAATCTAATCTCTAGGGGCGAGTTTAGGTCGTAACACAATCTCTCTCTCTCTCTCTATATATATATATATATGTATATATATATATATTCTTTAGAATATATATAACCCATAATGTTATCAAGCACACTATAATGCTATTATTATTTTGTTTGCCAATATTAGCCCAGATTATATCTTTGTAATGGTCTGCAGGTAGGTTGCATTGATTCAATAACACAATCACCATGCTAAAAAGGGATAAAGCAGCTTTTCAATTCATGTAGTACAATTGGGTACCAATTTATCTGTTTTAAATTACTTTGTCACCTTTTTTTACTATTGTGATGTCCTTGATCCAATCCAATCAAATCCATATACTAGTTGTACTTACACTACATATTAATTTCAATATGCATTTCTTATACCAAAGAGTTTTTATAAATCATCCAGCAAGAAGTTCTGTAAGTTTGAAGGAATTAAATTGGTCGATTTGAAAGGAAGGAGGGGACTCATTAAAACCCTGCATAATTAAGTTTGGAGTCTTATTTAATGTTTTTCTCGAGCAAATAAGCCAATCGGTCAACCTTACTGATACTTTATTGAATTTTAAGAGTAATATTTTGGTAATTTCTGAATTTTCTGGACTTGGGCTGTAGGGAACATCTGTGGTCATCGTATTATTGAGTCTTGAGCATTCGACCATGACTACATAAAACCACAATCCAGCCCTTGTTACTGTTCACAGTCCCTAGAGAACCACAAATCACCTCTTCTTGTCTAAACACAGCCCCAATACTGCATTCTTTTGTTATCACTTACACCAAAATTCATATATCTTACAAAACCTTGGCTACAAAACTACATATAGTTCAGCCCTAAAGAAAGGCCACCGCTATTTCCCCATATAAATTAGGCATTAAAACTTGTATCTGCTCTTGTCCAACATCACCGTGAGTGAATTTAACATATACTGAACACCGGTTATGTTACACGGACTCGGGTGCGAGTGTCGGATACAAGTATGTGTTTAAGTGTCAGATTCGCCTATTCCTAAAAAGTGAGGGTAAAGGGACTGGGCTAAAATATGTCCCAAAAATAGATACAGATACAGAGACACGGCACATGAAATATTAATAGGATATTCTATATCGTATACTAATTACATAGTCTATGCATCATGATCAATACCCAGGTAGTTAAAGTCTAAAAAAATAATCTAGGCATATATTTTTACTGTATTTAATTCATATAAGATGGTATAATTTTTTTAAACTTTTACAAATATAATTTATATTTAATGTATATAAATTTTATACTATATGAAATGTTTTAATCTCATTTATTAATAAACGGTCAAAATATTATATAATAAATGTTCTTGAGATATTAATTAATATGTATATTTTTATAAAGAATAAAGAATAAATAATATAATATAAATTTTATTATAAATTAGATATTATAATAAATTAGATTTTTTTAAAATAAATTATTTATTTATTTTTTAAAAATAAAATTAATTTATTTTGTTAAAATTGTTAAAAAGGAGAGAGAGAGAGAGAAGAGGAGTTGATTGATCGATCAAGAGAGGGGAGGAGATCGAGAGAGAGAGAGAGAAGATGAGATCAAGATCAAGAGGGAGAGAAGAAGATAGAGATCGAGAGTGAGGATGAGAGATCGAGATTGAGATCACAATTAGCTCCTCGCATCAGATTTGCGTTTCTCTCTTATCAGCTCCTTCTCGCATCAGATCAAAACTAAGGTCCTACTACCACTGTAAGTTTCTCAACAATCCTTCTTCATTCTCCTCTCATGTCAGTCGTGTCCAAGAAAAACATGCCAAGTCCGACACAGATCTCACACCCGGCACCCGTGTCATGTTGTGTCGACACGGGTACTCTGCCCTAAACCAGCGAGTCCATGTAACATAGCACACCGGAGTGGGCAAGGTGGGAGCTTGCTGCTTATAGCATGCAATGAAGACGACTTGCATACCAGAGTTAAACTTTACAGGCACTAAATGCTTTGTAGTGTTTTAAATACCAAAAATGTGTACCATTTTAATTTTGCTACTTCATATTTATTTATGATTTTTTTTGTTTGTTTGTAGACAAACATTAATTGTTTGATGCTGGATCTTAGTAGCAGGAACCTTCTAAAAGTGTGGATTCCGTGCTCCCAAGTAAGAAATTTGTAAGAAATTTGCTTCCGTTGAAAAAGAAACTCGCTCCCAACTAAGATAGAAACCTCTCAAATATATAAATCTTAGAGAACCAAAAGAAAAACAACTAAAACTTATTCTAATAGTTTCTACTTATATAATATTTACTTATACTTAATAAATACAATTTGTAGTTGACACGAATCTCTAATATTTATTCATATTTTAACACATTTATTATAACTAAGCAACAAAAAATAATTGTTAGAATATTTTTATATGTTTAATAAATAAATATATACACACTCCCATAGGTGTTCCCAACATAAGAAACTTCTATATGCCCTCGGCTCCTCCACCCCCACTCCATCTTCCGCTCCTGTCGCAGCCACCATTCTGTGCAACTAAGCGCAGGATACACCATGGAAAACCACCTAGCACCTTAGGGAAAAGAAGGGTATCATCTTTTATCTTATTTTTTTACCCCTTCCAGAGGATTCAACCTAACTCAAGGTCAAGACATCATAGCACCTTAGAAAAAAACAGGTATCATTATGCTTTTCTTTTTTTTCCTCCTTCCATAGGAGTCAACCTCACCTTAAGGTCAGGAAATATTCAATCAGGCTCATTATTTGCTAGGAAGTGTCATCAAGCACTCAATCAGGGTCTAAATCAAGAAGGCCGATGGACAATTTTATCTTGCATTCCCTAAGACTAATATAACTCAAATAACAGCAGTGTGGTCACCAGAATCCGGGACTTGGGTTTAAGCCTTTTGTAGGCTAATTTGTGATCAGAAGAAACCAGATGTAATAAAAAAGAGACAGGCAAGAAGCAAAACCAAAATATTTCCTTGCATAAAAGATAGTAAATTAAGTACTCTGCAAAGAAAACTCCACAGTTATTCAGCTTACAAAAAGGGAAATAAAATATAACCTCGTGGGGCTGAGAAGCATCAGAAGGTGCTGGACTCTTTGTATTGGCGGTGGCAGCAGCAGCTTCCGTATTTTTTCCATGAGCACTATCAATTTCCGATTTAGATTTCTGATTATCCTTCAGCTTAACACCATCGATTTCGACAGCTCCCTTTCTCCTAATTTGAGAATATAGCATAACTGCTTGAGTCAGAATCTTCAGAAAATAAGGGTTTTTGGGAACTGATATTTGTCAATTTCAAACTTAAGCGGTACGGAGTGATTATATTTCACCTTTTAGAATTATCATCAATATGGTTAAAGCTTAATTTGTTGGAAAATAATACTCCATGAAGAATCTTTCCATCAATAATAGTTTCAATAGTGTAGCCAACTGGGAAACATTTGGTAACCTTAGCTTGAAATGTCCTCTTCCTTGGAAACGGTTGGTATTCCCTTGAATACACATGTGGTTTGCCTGCATTTGAACCACTGCTTATTAGAAATGCAGCTGATATCCTACAAAATCAAAAGTTTTCCAACATTGTCATAATTTTCTCAAACATTAGTTAACTTGGTCACCGAAAACTCAGAACTCAAGTCGCCACTGAGCTTCTGAGTTAGCTCCTTGTGCAAATTGGGAGCATAAACTACTAATTCTACACTAACTAGCTCATTGTTTTAAAAAGCTCCAGGGGCATTGAAGCGCTAAGGTCTCCTGGAGCCAAAGCGTGAGGTGCAAGGCGAGGCGCACACCCCACCAAAGTGAGGCGCAAGTTGTAGAAGATACACAATTTTAATGTAGGCAAACTTTTTAACATAAGCAAATATTTCAAGTATTTCAAAAAACATAGAATAACATTCAATATTCCAAAAAATCATAAAAATAACATTTAACATTCCAAAAATTTCTCAAAATAACATTGAACCTTACTTTACCCAATACTATATGTCTTCCTTCATCAATTTATTGATGTGATTCGGTATTTTTTTTAAGATAAGGAACTCGCACCATCTAGTACATTAGTGATTTTGATTTTAAATCGAGACCAAATTGCGTGATAGTTTCAAGCATTGGCCCAAAATTGTCATAATTCACTATATTAAAAGAAATCTCAAAGTCATATATCCATCTTGCAATCCCAGTACTTTTGCTCAATGCCTAGTGCTTTTTTTTATTTTTTTATTTTTTATATATGAAGTTAGGGCTCAGCATGTATTTACATTTTATATTAGAGGGATTGTGATTCCTTAAGGCTACACACACAAAGAATAGGGTAAACTACTAATAGATCCTAATATTTGGATTTAATTTTCACCAAGTCCTATTAAAAATAAATTCTAATAAAACCGTCACTAAAAAAATATTTTATGACGATTTTTTTTATGTTGCTAAAAATTGATAATTAGTGACTTTTTTTGTCACTGTTTTTATAAATTGTCGCTAAAACTTACAATTAGTAACGTTTTTCTGTGACGAATTTTGTAAGCTATTCGCTGAAAGTTGAAAATTAGTATTTTTTTTAAAATTGTTGCTAAAATTTATAATTAATAACATTTTTTGTGACAATTTTTAAAATGTCGTTTAAAATTAACAATTAGTGACTTTTTACGGTAGTGCTACATGCTCCAATTAGTATACCAATTAGTGTACCAATATATGCTATGACATTGCTATTTCAACACTATGATCCCACCCATTATACAAACTACAAATACCTAAAACCTCTAAATTTATGCCACATTATCTGTTAGTACACTAATTAATATACCAATTGATGCATATAGCATTATTCCGTTTTTTAATAGCGTTTGATGAAAAATGCCATTAATTATTATGGAACCTATTGGACAATAAGTCCACCTATTAGGACCTACATGTACCCCCCAAGAATAAGAATGGAGCAAAAATTTAAATGTAGTGCATCAGGCGTGTGTCTTGCACCTAAGCCCAAGGCAAGTGCCTCATATGCGCCATTTCTACAGCACCTCACCTCAAGCTGTCTGAGATGCCTCAGGTGCGCCTTGTGCCTAAGCGCGCAGTTAGGCACACCGTTTAAGAACACCAGACCAGCTGATTCCTTTTATTTTCTTTTTCATTCATTCTTTCTTTTTTTGGATACGTAAAGATATTTCATTGAAGGTACCAAATATCAACACTCAAACATAGCAAGTATATTAAAATTCTAAACACTACAAAAAGGAGTATAAATATCAAAATTTGGTTAATTGAAAATGTAAATTTAAAAAAAAATAAAAAAGCTTGGTAGAATATTCCCATTTAACATCCACAAAAGTTTCTCTCTATGTTTACATTGACACCACGTTGGGGGGGGGGGGGGGAAACCTTTCGGAGACCTACCTTGATCCCAGCCAATTCATTTTCCCAAAACCAGCTACATTAGGTGCTAATAAAAACACCTTTTGATTTGATTTTCTTTATATTTGTGATGGGGATGAAAAGGCATCAGATGACAAGTAAATTGGAGAATATTTGAATTTTATATTATTAGGAATTATGCTTTAATAAGATTGTATTTCTTTAGGATTTTATATCTTAATTAGTAGTTTCTAATTCTATAGTTTCCTATTAATGAGTTTCCTAGTTAGTTAGTGCTTATGCCTATATATACGTATTTTTATGTAATAGTTTAATGCCTAGACTTTCATGATTGAATATTGAGAGTTGAATATTAAGTTTCATTTTGAGAGTATTTTGGGATTGAAATTCCCAAGTCTTCTTCTTCTTGTTTATTCTTCATTCTTCTCCTCTAGTTCTACACCAATTTGTCTGGAAAAACTAATTCTCCCTTGCAATTGAATATAAAAATTGGAGTTTGATCTATTGCTTATGGTATCAATTTAGGATTATCATTGCGCATATGTGCATTCTTTTGGATTAATGCTGTGACTTTAGGAAATGTAAAGTCCCATAAACAAGTTTATATGATCCCAAAGAAAATTAGTTAATTTGGACAATATATAGGGCTACAAACAAGCCAAACTAAGCAGAATAGTTGGTTGTTCAAGCTCAGCTCCACAAGGTGAGATAATTTTTGGGCTTAGGGCATTAGGCAAGCTCTACTTAATCTTGTTCCAGGTTTGCTCACCATTGTTAAATAGAGCTTGAGCTTGGCCTGCTCGAGCTTATTTACACTTAGAATGATGAATGAGTCATGAAGAAGAAGAGAAGGCTACTTTCCCTGATCAAATCCCCATACCGGATGTACACCATTAAATTCTAGATGAAAAATAACAAAATATATATGTATGTAATTATTTAGAAAACTAAATAGATCTGATCCTCTAGTGATGAGAGTCAGCATTCAGCAGCAACATTGGAGACACCGGAGAATAGCAAAGAAAGGCCTACTTTATTGGGTTTGCCAATCGGCATTCCAAATCTACAAATTACCCTGTGGTTTTGATTTTCCAACTAAGAAACAATGACATTTCTAAGAAGGTAAAGTTTCGTGTCTCAGACAATGACACAACACGACACTCATTGGACACTTCTCGACCCTTGTTAGACATACCTCAAAATGTCTCACTATTTTGAAAAATTTCTAGAGTCAGACACGCTTTAGACACTTGGAAGACACGTGCATATCACTTAGACACACATGAGATACAATACAAGTTTGAATAAAAATAACTTGAAATCTAATGATAAAAGAAACGCAATGTAAATGAATACCTACTCCACTTCTTTAGAGTTTAGAAATTAGTGTTACATAGCATTTGTTATTGTCTTTAAATTAAATAGTAGCATTATATGTGATATATAATAAGTGTTTGTCCTTATATATGACATATATGTAAATAAATAAACAAATACTATATGTTTTATGTGTGCCCCCCCAAGTGTCATGTCCTACATTTTTAAAAAATTTACATGGCAGCATGTCCGGGTTGTGTCACGTGTACATGCTTCTTAGTTTTCCAAGAATACTACATTAAATAAAATAAAAATCCTAAACCAAGTCATTCATTTACAGCCTATAATATCTGCAAGGATTGCAGAAATTTACTACTTTGTATAGCCATCAAAAACAAAACAAAACAAAACAAAGAAAGAAAAAAATTTATCGCATTGCAAATTCTCTATTTTTTGACATACACCTTGTTCATTTTCCATCCTTAGTAGTTAAACTTGTACCGGAAAAAGAAATTATGAGTGCCATACTTGCTCAGTAAGGAATCATTCTAAGAGATATATTAGTTCTCACTTGGTTCTATACTTGGCATAGGAATCGGTTGGTAAAGATCAGCATTTGTCTCAATTCTGACCAGTGCCTTATCATACGCAGGAGGAGTAAGCATATTCTGCTCCTGGCACTTTAACTTCAGTTGCTTCCTTAAAGATAACTTCTCTAGCCGACGTTCATCTCGCTCATTTTCAGTTGTAAGTCCTAGTAATAGATTTCATTGAAATAATAAATAGCTGAAGATTCATAATCACTGAGTTTTCATAACTAAATGGATACTTCAAAGTAACTACAAAATTTAAATTCGATAACTAACACCTAACACCTGTGTGTAAGTAAAACATGTCGTCCAATGCTTCAAGATTCTTACTACAACCACCAAGAAATACAAGAATACCGCTCTTTTGTGGATCCAAACTGTCCCCGGCCATGGAAAATCTGGCACAAGGACCGTTGCCTGTAGCCATCACCTGAGTCCATACACCAGTCTCTGCACAAGAATTTGACAGAATTGAACATTATGAGATTCAAACAATACTATATAAATATGAGAAACAGGTACTAACTGGCAAGTCACACACACAAATGTCTTGAACATATCGTTCTACAGGTCTCATGATTCTCAGCAAATAGACCAAGAATAATGTCAACCCGATGGTTGATCCCAGTGCCTAACCAATCAAACTCTTTCTAAAGTGGTGAAGCACCATTGAAAAAGATATGCCCAACTATGTAGTTTATAATTCATATTTGGCCTAGAAAAGCTCAGAGAACAAGTTGCATATGTAGTGATTCTTAGTGCCATTATATATCTTCCCACCCATAGTGCAACTTGGATTTTTCTAGAAAGCAAAAACTCTCACCTTATGGAGCGAAAGATTAATGGATAGGTGTACATACCGATATCAAGCATATAAAGGTCATCATATAGGTTTGACTCATCAGTGAAACCCCCAAAGACAAACAAGTTCTTTCCCAAGGCAACTGTTGTATGCCCAGCTCGAGGTGGCAAGAGTTGGCCTGAAGTGAACAGCTTGCTCCACACAAGGGTATCTATTAAAACAGACACTATTATGGATAGTTTTTTCAACATGAAAGTTATAAGGGAAATTTACGTGACAATGTATATTTTAAAAAATATTAACAAATTAATGATAAACTTTACAAGTATTAACAATGTAGTGATAAACTTTATCATTAATAAACAATAATTTTTAAAAAACCCACTGACAAGTAGTTTCCTCAAGTTATAATTCCGATTCTATCTTGGCGATCAATATAGGAAATTTCAAGAAGAATTGATACCAGCATCAAGGATATGAACATCAGAGAGATAATAATCATATGAGTCTTCACCACCAATTATAACGATTTTGTTCTTCCAAGATGAGCAAGTATGGCTATCACGCTTTGCTGGTGGACAGCCTAATGTTGCAGCACGTTTCCAGACAAAAGTCTCTACAAAAGATTCTCTGAATCAAATTATTACTAAACTGGGATCAATCATCTAGAATTCATGCAAATCTACAGCCCTTGTAAAATTATGAACAATAAAACCCACGCTCTAGCTACCACTGAGCTTTATATAAATAAAACTCATTTGAAAAGAGAAGCTTTATGTAAATAAAACTCATTTGAAAAGAGAAATCCCACGCTGATGCCTTGTATAAATGTAGCATTATAAGCTTGTAATTACTAATCAAACAATAAAAAATAAAAATAAAAACTTGCCCCAAACAGTGACAAAATAATTCAGCTTCGGTGATTCTTGATGAGTGGCTCTTCGACTAATCCATAAACTTACCAGTATTCAAAATGTAGAGATCATCAAAAAACTCTTCATCAGAATTATTTGAAGATTTTCCGCACCCACCAAATATGAAAAGTCGTCTACCAACAACTGCCGCACTGTGGCCTTCTCGTGCCTCCGGTCCCTCACCTCTTACACTTGGTGAGATCCATGTATGTGTAGCTATGTATTTATTAAACACATCAGGAAGTATAGGTCAGAGTGGTACAAACTATAATAACAGAAAACAAGCTAACGTGAATAGATATAACTACTTATAGTTCTTATTATCATTAAGTCACAAAACAAGTGACTATAAAAAATATATATATATATTATCTTGTTGGTACTATTAGTTAAAAGAGAGATATAAATGGAGGGTTGTCCATAAAAAGGTTGAATGATGGCTTCCACAAACAATAATAACACTTGGGGACACAATAATGCATATTAATAACACGAATACCTCAAAAAACTCATGTCTAAAAGACAGAGTCCATGAAACTGAGCAACCAGGAAACCAGGAACCAGAACAAGTTGATTGTTTGAATGGTGAAGCAGTCCACTTTGGGCAATACTACTTGGGAGATGAATATGAGATGTAAATAAAAACTTACAGAAGATGTAAACAAACCCAGTTTAGCAATTCCTGAAGCACTCTACTTTAGTTAAACAACTTTTGATTTTAATACATATTACACAATTATCTATTTGATTTTAATCATTAAACAAATTGAAAAGGCAAAAGAGAAAAGTACGAGTAACTCACAGGTGTCTAAAATATGCAAATCATTCAGAGGGTTCTGTCCATCTGTACCCCCAAACACAAACAGATTATCCCCAATAGCAGTACAGCTGTGGCTGTCCCTCGGCACCGGCGGTGTGCCTTTCATAACAGGGTCACTCCATGTCCTTGTAGCTATACACAACAATACCCACAATAAGATAAAATAGTATAAATATCAAAACAACTACCCACATGAAAATGAATGTACACCATTGCAAATATATACAAGGGTCCTACTAATGACCGCCCTTAGGGTTGTCATTGTCAATAAGAACCGCATGATGCCAAAATATTTATGATCTCAATACACATTTTACATATCGCAAAACACTTTTATATATTTTTTACACATTTCAATACACTTTATACACATCTTCCAACGCTAACAATAGCCTAAAGGCTGTTTTTAACATTTCCTTATAAACCTTTTTTTTTTTTTTTTGACCGGCTACATATAAAACCCTACTTAAAAATACAAGAACAATGTAAACAATGAAGATAGTATAAGTCCAAAAAAAAAAAAAAAAAAAAAATCGTAAATTTCATAGCCCATACGAAGCATTGAGTCCAAGCAATGGGCAACGATATGGTACATACCCCATACGTACTTTTGTTACATATTTTTGTCCTACATGTTACATATTTTGTGGTAAATGTTAAATATTTTTCTGATAAATTTACGATAATTTGAGGTTCAAAAATAAAATTACACATTTTATTATACAAATGTGTAACTTCATTTTTAACCAGAAATTGTTGTAACTCTACAAAAATATTACGTAACATTTACACCACAAAGGTGAGTACCATAGAATTTCCTTGGATACATAATTTCTATATATATATATAAAATAGATTATATAACCAAAAATGTAAATCATAGCCAATAGATAATATAAGTCAACAAGAAAAACCCATAAATTTCATAACCAATAAGAAGCATGTGAAACTGAATACAGCATTTATATAAATGAAACTAATAAAACCCTAGACACCGAAATTTCTAAATTTACACATCAAAATATGTTAATAACAACTAACTAGCAAAATCAATCAAACAAACTGAGAGCGAAATTGGGTATAATCAAGAACAAGAGATGAGATTCAAGAACACAAAGAGTGCAAGGGATTGATAAAGAAGACCCACCAGTGTCGAAGACATGTACTTGGTTGGTCTGAGAGTTATCTTTGCCATAGCCACCAAAAACGTAGAGAAACTTGCCTCCTCTAATGGCGGTACAGGTGTGTCCCCACATCTTCCCGGGTCCATACACCGGACCCATCTGCAACTTTTCCCATCTCATTTTCCAGATTGAAGCCAACCCAACAAGAGTGGTGAAAAATTTTCCAGGAAAAGAAAAACAGAGAGAAAATCGAGAGAGAGAGAGAGAGAGAGAGAGAGATTTGATTTGTGAATTTGGGGATGGGATTGGGATTGGGATTGGGATTGGGATTGAAAGAGTTCATGCAAACAGCCATTAACAACAAGTGTCACAGTAGGCCAAATGGAAAATATTGCAAACCTCAAGGGGTACTTTGGGAAATACATAAAATGTCAAGTGTGAGTTTTCACTCTGTGGGGCTCAGTAACACCGTAAAGAGGACACGTGGAGAATCTAGGGTGAAGTATTTATTAGTGGGGTGGAGCTCATTCCAATTGGGTCTAAAATGGGACTCAGATATTGTTAATATAGTTTTACGTAATTTTAAAATAAAATTATATATTTTATAAAATTTTACCTATTGTTATGATAATATTATATATTTTCTAATTCAAAATATGTAATATTATTAAAAAAATATTATTTCTGTCCAAATTGTTTATTCGATACAAAAAATAAGTCTGTTTGATTTAAGTTTTTTGGATTAAGTTTTTTAAAAATTGAGTATTTTCATTTTTGTGTTTTTTTATTTTATTTTTTGTGAATATTTTTAAATTTAAATTTTTTTTTTACTTTTTTAGATGCACATTACTTAGATGTATCTAAAAAATAAAAAAATTGTGAAAAAATAAAAATATAAAAAATGTACTAAATTCTCGTAATTTTTTTTATATATTTTTGGTATTTAGTGAATTTTTAAAATATTTTTTTCACAATTTTTTTACTTTTTAAGTATATTTATGTTAGGTATGTCCAAAAATTTTAAAAATTGCTTAAAATATTAAAAAAAAATTCAATAAAAACAAAAAAAAAAACACAAAAAATAAGAAAGTAGCATTTTCTGAAAAATATTTTTAAAAAATTCCATTTTTGTTAACAAATTTAACCAAAAAAAAAAAGAAGATAATCTATAATAAAAATATAAAAAATGTACTAAATTCTCGTAATTTTTTTTTATATTTTTGGTATTTAGTGAATTTTTAAAATATTTTTTTCACATTTTTTTTATTTTTTAGGTATATTTATATTAGGTATGTCCAAAAATTTTAAAAATTGCTTAAAATATTAAAAAAAATCAGTAAAAACAAAAAAAATATGAAAAATAAGAAAGTTAAATTTTCTGAAAAGTATCTTTGAAAAACTCTAACCAAGCAATAATATCGAGATTTTTACATAATAAAAAAATTTAAAATTTTGATACAACAATATATTATTTTAAAGTTTTCTTGTTTTTTATTTGACAAATAATTTGAGACAGGAATAATATTATCATAAAAATAAGTAATTTCATTTATGAATTACAAATTTTCATATTTTTGTTAAAAATATTAAATGATATCAACAAGAAATATACGCACCATAAAAATATACAAGTAGGTGCATATGGAGGGGTTCCCTTCAAAAAAAAACTTATGAATATTTATTTCAAATTTTATTTAAAAAATGAATATGTAATATAGATCTAAAGTTAATGTGATGTGAGTCATATTTATAATAAATATAAGTAATTTCATTTATGAATTACAAATTTTCATATTTTTATTAAAAATATTAAATGATATCAACAAGAAATATACATAATATGCACCATAAAAATATATAACATATGGAGGGGTTCTCTTCAAAAACACTTACGAATATTTATCTCAAATTTTATTTTAAAAATGAATATGTAATGTGGATTTAAAGTTAATGTGATGTGAGTAATATTTACAATAAATATGGATTATTAAATTTATTTTTAAGTAATTTTTTAAATATGTAATATTACATTTTTAATGACTCATTTTGCTAGACTAGATTGCTTTTCACTTTTGACTTTTATTTATTTGTTACCTTCTTGATAAAGATTTATATACATACATAGGTTTTAAAATTGGAATGTTTATGATAGATGCCAGGTTTGTTTAATGAAGGTTGGGGAGAGGGTTCAGTGCTCACATTTAAGATTTACTTTGAGAGTATGGAAAGTGAGTAGAAATATTAAATGTAGTGATGTGTCACTCCACTACTATTAAAGCCTGCTTTGACTGAGCCAAGGGACACTAAAGGTTGCCCAGTTGACATAAATCTGCAATTAATCTATGGTATTGTTTGTTTGAAGATATTGAAGAGTGGGATAGGATTAGAGGGTGATATAGGATTTATATCTGTTGTTTGATTTTTTAGTTTTACTTCGAATTATTAGTTCGAAATGTGTTGGACAATTGTGTCACATGGGGAGGGACACAATTGGGAGATAAAAGGGGATATGGGATTAAGTGGTGAAATGATCATTTTGATCTTTTACTATTTAATTATGTATTATATTTAATAAAATTTAATAAAAATAATTTTATTTAACTTTTTATTGATGTTTTATTTATTTAATTTTTTAAAATAATTTTTTATAGATATTTTATTGATGTTTTATTTTAAAATTTTGTTTATAATTTATTTAATTTCACTATTTAAATTCTAATAGATGTTTTATTTAATTTCATTATTTAATTATTATTTTTAAAAAATAAATTTATTTAAAATTTTAATTAAAAAAAAAACATATAATTTTATTGATATTTTATTTTAAAAAATAAATTTATTTAATTGTGTAAAAAATAAAATAAAATAAATTTTTATTTAATCTAATTAAAATAAATAAAATATTAAAGATATGTTCAAAATTACTATTACTTAATAAATAATTGAAAAGGGTAAAATAGTCATTTAAGCATTTATCCTTCTTCATAATATCTCAAACAACAGATTCATATCCTATCCGATCAAATAGTTCTTTCCTGACATCTAACCTTATGACTAAACAAACAGGGAGTACATATTCTATCCAACCAATAGTCCCAGGATTATGAATCATAAGATTGCAATCCGATGGATTCTAACCCCCTCTTATTCAATCCATTCAAACAAACACACCCATAGGTATATTTGCATTGGTTTGGCATGATAGGTTGGGGTGGGTTGAGATTAAAATAGCCAAAAAAATAAAATAAAATAGACTTTTTAGTTTTAGGTTAAAAAATGTCACGTTTAAACTATAATTATTTTATTTTTTTTCATAAAAGTCAACAAAAAAAAATCATTCCAAACAAGATTTTTTAGCTCCAAGCTAAAATAGCTAAAAAAATTAAAAAGCTGAAAAATTAAACCACATCCCAAACGAAGCTAAAGGATAAATTACAATTTGTTGCTTTATATTTGATTATTTTTTTTATTTGACTTTTAAAGTTTGTGTTTGTGTTTTTTCTTTTTTTTTCCATTTTGATTTTTTATGTTCAAGTTTTTTTCAATCTATTCTAAAAATTAACTTATGTCCAAAATTAAAGAAAATGATAATTGATAGCCACATGATATACAAATATTTTATTATATAACCCACATCTTTAACATAAACACAAACTCTAATATAATATATATATATATATATATGTATGTATTATGTGATAGTTAACATAGCATTTTTTAAAATCTAATTTTGAATAGAAATTAACTTTAGAAACAAACTGAAAAAATTAAATTTTAAAGGTCAAAGTGAATAAATGTCCAGATATAAAGGAAGCAAAATATAATTTATCCATACATAAATGTACCAATAATTATATCATAATTATATTTAATTTAGTTATGTTAAAATTATAAAATTTATTATATTTTTCTAAGTTTCATGGATGATCAGTGTTATTTACATTTTTTAAAAACATACTAAGCTCTCCTTTCGACAATTTTCGTTTTTTTGTAATATATTTTTTTTTTTTTTTAAATTTTGGGTCACAATTTTTTACTTTTTCAATCTACCTAGACTAGACCACAATCTTGAAAAAGCATATAAAAATTTGAGAAATATCCACTAAAAACAAAAATAAGTCAAATTTTGTCCAAAATACCTTAAAAAGTTTATTTATATTTTTACTTACTAAACTTTTTTCAAAAAATTGAAAATCGTCTAATTTAGACCAACTTAAAAAGTAAAATATTTTTACTCAAAGTTAAAATAAAGTTCATTAAAAACAAAAATAAACCCGAAAAATAAGTATCAATTGTAGCCAAAAGAACTGAGTTATATATTGGGAGCTTTTTTGATAAAACTCCTTTCTAAGAGTTTTATTGTATTCAATTCATATTTTTTTTTAACTATTTCATTAGGTCCTATTTGAGGTAAGAAGACCAAAACATCCTAAATCTCTCATGCCCTCCATTAATGTTGATATTTAATGTTGATTGTCATTATATCTCCATTCCAAAAAAATGCATTAACTACGCACCACTATTTAATGTTGATATATATTACACACAAAAAATTAAACATAGTTCTTTATTGATTGTCATTATATTTTGGTAGTTCCCATGCATCATTTGTTAGCCTCAAGGTTATTTAAACTTAAATTTCTATTGATTTTGATTATTGACAAATTTTTTTAATTTAATTTGTTATTCAAAGTTTTCAAAGTAATAGTATACAAATTGTGCTTAAATTGTTCTAGAAGTTATATGATTCTAGAAGTGTTGTTCTTCAATGGTTTTTTAACCCCTCAAAACATGAGAGTAGCACTTGTTTGCAAAATTATATTTATACTTGAAACAGGTCTAAGGGTCGACATCAAAGTGAAGCTCAGAATGCCAAAGTGTTCAAGAAGCAAGAGTCGACACCAAGATAGCAAGAGTCGACACTAAATTTCAGAATGTATTCCAGAAGTAAGGGTCGACACCAAGAACAAGGGTTGACACTAAATTTCAGAATGCAATTCGACAGAAAGGGTCGACACCAAGAACAGTAAGAGTCGATGCTAAATTTCAGAATATAATCCAGCAGCAAGGGTCAACACCAAGATTCATAAGGGTCGACACCAGGAACACCTGGAACAAAACTCAGAGAAGAAAAGAAGAGCGAAGGGTCGACACCCAATTTGTAGGGGTCGACACTTGTAAAATCTGGGTTTAAAAAATCCACCTGCCAAATCAGATCTGGATTGACACAGTTCTTTTTGCAGCCACTTTTTCATTTTTATGTACAAAATATGTCATCATTTTTTACCTCTGAGCAAATTTTCTAGCACCACATATTCTTCTAAGAAGTTGACTTATGAAGATGAGCATTAAATAAAAACTTATACATTTAATGAGCCTTTTCTTCCCAAGACCTGCATATAGTCTGCATCTCACCATACTCTAATCAAGCACAGCTGGAAGATATCCTCCATGATCTTCTTCAATGGCTAGGAGATTCAAACCTCATCTCTTTCTAACTGCTAGAAGCCATCAATATTATAAATATGGAGGTCTCATTGTTCATTCAATACACTTCTTCAATACAATATACTCGAAGCATTCAAGAGTAATCAAGAGCATTTAATATACTTCATTTATACTTCAACTTTCATATCTGAGTGAGTTACCCGTGAGCTTAAACTTTCATATTTATCTTTTAAGAGAGAATATTTTTTAAAGAGGATAGTTGTACCTCTTGTTATTGTTCCTTATTTTCTGAGTGAAACACTTGTAAAGTGAGGCATTTAGTTGAGAGGTCTCAATAGATTGAAGTAAGTCCTTTGTAAAAATCCACAAGTAAAAAGAAGCTTGGTGGTGCATTGATTCTTAGTGAATAAATTCTTAAGGAAATCTTTTGAGGAGTGGATGTAGGCTGGTGAGCCGAGCCACTATAAATCTTTATGTCAAGCTCTTCTTTCCTTTTCTTTCCTTTATTTTTTGTGTACTTATTAATGTCTACTGCATTTAATCTCTTAGTCTTTGAAATCTATTTTCTAGTTCAATTTTTTTATTACCCAATTCACTCTCCCTCTTAGGTTGCTTTCCTGTATAACATCATTGATTGGCATCATGTTTTGATAGTTCCTATGCATCCAAATGTTGATTGTACGTAATGACATGAATATTCACATCAGATGACGTGAATATGAATGTTCACATCAGACGACATTGTGATAAAGGTGATATTAATGTTCACATCAGCATTGCATCAAATTACACAACCACAAGCCTCAATTTTCATTTAAATATAAACATGACGTGAATGTTCACACTAAGACATATGAATGTTCATATCAACATTGCATCAAATTACACAACCACAAGCCTCAACATCTGAATCATATTCATATGTTTAAGTGTAAACATTCACGTCATCTGATATCAACATTATGAACATTAACATTTGAACATTAACATTTGTATTTACATTCATATGTTTTAGTGTGAAAATTCACGTCATCTGCTATGAACATTCATGTTCACGCCATTTTATGTGGACATTTACGTCATCACGTACAGTCAACATTTACATGCATGAAAACTACTAGAACATAATGACAATCAGTAAAGAACCATGTTTAATTATGTGTAATGTATATCAATATTAAACAATGATGTGTAGTTAATGCATATCAACATTAAATATAAGGGTATAAGAGTATAAAAAAAGAGTGTAAATTAAGAAAAAAGTCTTTATGGAGCAAATGTATAAATACATGAGATTAAATGAGTCATAAATTTCCTTCATGAACTTTCTAGGTTAGAACACTCCTAAATAGAATTTATTAATAAAAACCCCTTATATTTTCCACAGAACTTGCAAAAGCTTGTTGCTCCATTTTTTTAATAATCAAAGATGAAACTCAAGAAAGCCTTTATTAGATGATTTAAAAAACAAAAAACAAAACGACAATGCTACGTAACTCAAATTTTGTGGCTCAAAAGTGGCTCAAATGGCCAAAACGATTTGACCATTTGAGCCACTTTTGAGCCACAAAATTTGAGCTACGAGACATTTTCCAAAACCAAATAAAATAAAAAACAAACTTCACTCAGTGGTGGAGAACCATGTCACAAATGCAAGGTTAAGTAATTTATACACTAATATATGTTGCTGGCAAACAATTTTTAAGTCAATATAAAACTGAAATTCCAAATACCACTTTGTATTGTAGTGAATGAATTTTCTGTCAACTTCTATTCCAACCTCTCCTCCTCAATTTTACACTAAAAAAGAAAAACCTTTTGTGAACAACTTTTTGCCAAGAGACAATCCGGTATTGAAGCCAAAGAGGTATCATGGAAAGGCAAACAATCTACGCTGGTACAGTGTCAGAAATTCGTGTGTAAATCAAAAACTCAAAAAATTCGTTTCCGAATCCGAGCCCATGCGATGGCAGCAACCACAGCACCCCCCAAATGAGCAGATCCCGAGATTTGACTGTCTCCCTGACAAAAAATTGCAATGATAATTGAGCCAGGATCATAAGTTAAATGAAGTACATAATTGATTATTTTACGAAATATTGCAGACTGCAAGGTATATATGATCACTCTGTATATCATCCAACTGATTAAGTGTGTTTCCTCAACAATAAATAAATTGACACGAATGAAAATTTTCTAGGTTCATGGTAATGCCCCAATAATTCTTGACTATATTGTTTTTATGTTAAAAAATCCTGAGGAGAAACATATATGACATCACAAGCAGGGCTTGAAAGACAATAGTTAACCAAGCTCAAGTCTATTATGGCTTCAGCAGCACATAGATCGGTCATAATAATGATTAACGTCAAGGTGTCCCATACTTGAATGGAGAAAGAAGCTAAGAGTGAAACGAAGGTCATACCTCTAATATTCTCAGTATGTCTTTTCCAATAAGAAAGATACCCTAAAATGACATTCAGAAAAGAAAAAACAATTTTGTAAGAATTGCCAAATAGGCCTTAAAACAATGAACTATCACTTCAAAGTATGGTTATGTGGAATAAAACTTACCAGTAAGATAGCAGGAACTGGTATGATAAATTCTAGATAGAGAGTATTTTTGGGAAAGAGGAATATGTCAAGCAACATGATAGCATTCACTGCTCCACTCGCTCCCTGAATGATAGATGCAGAATCAGAAGTCATATGAATAGATTTTCAAGTTTCAATAAATGGCTAGCTTAATTGCCCACTGGACGGGGTATAAAATTTGGAGTTCATAACAAAATGAGCTTTTAATACACTTTCCTCTAATCTCCAGTTGATCATTCAGAAGACCATGTTTCCTTGGGTAATTCAAGCTGATAATATATGAAGGAGAAAGCACCAACAAAATCATTCATTTTTTTGCAAAATATACGAACAAGTTCTACACGTGGGTTGAAGATTCAGGAAAACAAATTGATCCGAGAAACAATCATGTTGTAGAGATAATGTCTAATAGTCTATTCTTTTAGTCAGGAAGGGGAAATTAAAAAGAGAAAAAAAAAAAGAAAAAGGAGAAGGAAATTGGGAATATGATGTGGCCATTATTCTATAAAATGGATAACTAGACGTAACTACTTCAATGCATAATTGTTCAAAACAGAATTGTCATGACAATGCTGGAAAGAGAGGTACAAAAGAAAGAAATGGCAAGTCAAAACACTAGAAGTGAAAAAAGTCTCACTCAAAATGTCATGGTAAACAAATTCAAATAACAGAATACGGAGAATCAAACAGAAGTAGAAGCAGGAAGAAATTATGCATACAAGTCCCGGAATGCTTGAAGGGTTTATTCTCCAATTTCGTTCATTCTGCAGATACCAAACAGAAGCCAAACATCAGTACTAAAAAGTGAGAACCATAGTATAAAATCTCAAACATATAATTACATGGCAATCAATGCTTCCAAGAACAAAAATCACTTCCATTTTCTCAAATTCATGCTTTCAAAGAAATTCTGGTATTACACCATCAAAGAAATTCTGGTATTACACCATGCATAACCATGAATCAACATAAATTTGAACTCTATGAACCAAATCAAGGTACAATACTACAATGTGTAGAAATCGACTCACAATTCCAATAAATTTGGACCTCTGCTAATCATCATGGCATCCAGTGTTTGGGATTATTAGTTTTTTTTTTTGTAAAATATGTATTTCCATAATCAAACCAAAGCTATACTTGTTCATCTTCTTTAGTGATTTTATAATGGTAAGAATCCAAGTTTGATCATCCTTACAATTTACCTTCTCAATATGGCGGAGTAAATGTTGAAACATTTTGATTATTTGTACCTTTGATGATGGGGCTATAAAAGCATGGTGCACCAAATAGAATATTGAGCCAACAACTGCCCCCGAGAAATACAACTTCAGCAAAAATTCTGGTCCAAAAACTCTTCCAATCTGCCCAGTAAAGTGAAATTAGCAACTAACAAATTCTAATTGAATACTAAATGAAAAATAATGAAATCCAGTGAATAATCCATTACGTAAGTTATCGAGTTTGAATTTCTTGTTCTGGTTTTTGCCTTCTTCATCTTCTGGTTTCTTTTTATAAATTTAGATAAGATGAAGATATTTACTGCAAACCAATAAAGGATAACTAGCCTAGCCACCAAATATTACAATGACAATGATGACAGAAAAAATATTAAGATTAAAAATATCATTAATACCAAAAATTAAATGCCATCTAAAGCATTGTAGACTATTCAAATCCCGTGGGCCAACCAATGAGCTATAAAATTTTCTTCTAGTGTAACATCATCTCTTCAATCAATGTAGTTTATGTATGCGATAAGTATAATTGACTGAAAACCTAATTGGACAATCACAAAACCTAACTCTTCAGTTCTAAAAGGTCTTCCTTTATTTGCAAGAAGTCAAAAATAGACAAGAAAGTAATTGCATTATAGCTAACAACTAAATAATAGAAGTTGATTATGTAAAAGAAGATTTACGAGTTTTCCATTAACACATTATATTATAGTTTGTTTTACTCGGGAAATATGATGACTGTTTCTGGATATCTATAGATGAGAATGATTGAAGTTTCAATCATTAAAATCGTACAGATTATCTAGAACTTTCCATTTGAAAAGAAAATGCTGCATTTAATTAGATGTCAACTTCAAAGTGTATTGGTTCCACAAACTGCAGATGAACAAACATTAAAAGTAAAAGAATTGGCTTCACAATCCCCTTCCCCTCCTATGCAAAATCTACTACCAATTTTCCAAGTGAAAATCAAATTATTATCATGAACACTGGTAAGTAAATGTTCTTTCATTTTTTTTTGAAAAAAAAATTAAAATTTGAACAAAAAGAAAATTAAGAGGCATGTGCATACATTCACCCCGAAGAAGTAAAGTCCAATCATGTTAGAGACAAGGTGCCCAATATCGATATGACTGAATGCAGATGTTACCATCGTGTGAACGCGTCCGCTTTTAAAATTCTCCACTGAAATCTGCTCAGAGAACAACAGTATATTATGAAAAAAAATGAATACAATACAAGCTTAAAAAGATTTTGTATGATAGTATGAATGAGAAAAACTGACAACATTTTATACAACTCACCGTAAAGTTCTTCAACATAAATTGTTGATCTGTAATCCGCCATAACATAAAAACAGCTATATTAGTTAAAATCAGGCCCAAAACCACGCTATCAGGTGTTAGCCTTTGAAGCCATGATTGCCTATTCACAGAATGGACATAGTTATTTACTTGCCAAAAAAAAAAAAAAATTTACTTGCCACAAAAAAAAAAAAAAAAGGAACATTATTTCCATATAGCAACACATTTAAATGGTCTTAAGTTAAAAAGGCCATAGGAATACAAGCATGCAGGTGGCTTTGAATAATGAAATTATCTACTGCTCATGTGTTTGGTGGAAAGCTCAAAAAATTAAGTCAATTAAAAGCTTTGTAAGACAGAAATTATAAGACAAGAGCATTGTAGGTGATACAGAATTGTCCAATAAAATGCAAACACGAGTGGATACAAAACCAAAAACATTTGTAGCAAAAGCAAAAGAAGTAAACATAACAGGTTAGAAAGAAATATGAGTTTGGGTGATTGGATTGGGCAGAAGCATAGAAGAGCATATAAAAAGTCCCTTTTCCTTTTAAGACCAAAAGGCTTAACAACTATCCAAGAATAATACTGACTTATTGAGACATAAAATACACACATCGATGACTTACTAGACCATGTGCACATTCCTTTGTATTTGTGGGCTAAAATACACCGTTACTCTCTCTCTCCACTCCCCACTACCCCACCCTCCACTGCCCTGCACCCACCCCACTCCCACTTCAATTATAAGGACAGCCACACCAACAGAGTACACCCCTCCTGACACACTCACTTTTCAGGGACAACTATTGGGAGTGGACAGGTTTGTTGTGAGCATAAGGACTCCACTGGGGCAGAGGCTGGCCAATTCTCAATATCAAGGGAAATGCTGGTTCTCTAGAGTGCAATGATAATCAAACTAAAGACATCCAATCCCCTCAAACTTTTTTTATTTTATTTTATAATTTTTATAATTAATAATAATTTCATAAAAAACAGCATATAGGGAATGCGACCCACATACAAAAGAGATTAAACAAAACCCCCCCAAAAACTATACACCTCAACAAGTATTAAAAAAAAGAAAAGAAAAGCAATCCCCGCAACTACCTTATGGTTGGTGATCTAGTCAATAAACTATATAAACATTTTCTATTGCAAGTGAGGCTCAAAATTCTAAGAAATGTTGCTTGAATTAGAGCATTGATCCCAAAGAAGAAGAAAGGGATGGAAAACTCAGCTTGTCAAACTATAAGGCATGAAATTCTGATTAAAAAATGTAGCTTGAATTAGAAAAACAAGGTCACCAATTCGAACGAACTTTGTTCTTTGTTCTTTTTTTTCTTTTCTTTTGTTTTGTTTTGTTTGTTTGTTTGTTTGTTTTTTTTTTTTTGGGTTCACATGCTTATGTTTATCATACACAATAAAAAGTTCAATCAAAACACCAAACCCTGTGTTCTTGTAAAGTGGAAATGAGTCGCGAGACATTTAACTTGTATTTGATAATATAGGAAAATAAGTCAGTTCAGTGTAACTCCCACTATATTGTGTTTTTGCACACATCAAATCTAAAGCTTTTTAACACACTGATTTTATAATCTCCATCCTAAAGAACTTTCTTTTACTCCTCTTGAGGAGCTATATTCAAGAAATTACAGTGTATCTCATTCATATCAGATTAAGCATCACTTCAATAATAAATGAGCACGCTGCTAACTATCAAAACACTTACCCAAGCTATGAATTCCACAGTAGTCCAAACATCTTCCTATATAAATTTTGTAGATGAAATTTTCTTGAGTAACAATCATTCGCAACACCAGAGATAACTACTTCCAGGATAACTTACTTTAGCAAAGACTGCAGGTAACACAAGTTTATGTATGGTGTAGTGCATGCATACTAACATGCATATGTCACAATGTGTACAAAGAGAAAAATCTATATATATATAGCAATGCCAATAAAATGCAAATATGACAATATCTAACAAATATATATCAACAGATTCTAAATCACTCTAAAATGATTAATATGTTCATACAACTATCATTTATAATTAATATAAATGGCAACATCAAATCAATTAAAAATAACCAGAAAATGATACCAAACTAAATTCTTGAGCTTGTGAACAATGGAAAAGAACAGGCTTCTTCTATGTTCGTCCAATAAGAACCACGCTACATAAAGTACATTCCTAGTGTATGAAATGTGTTTCTAGTAATACTTAGCCATAGTTCTAATCAATAAGTCAAGAATGCATCACTTAAACTGGCCATGGAAAATGTACAACTACTCGCACCACTACATGACATAATGAAGATACATCATGCTTGCACAATGCCAATACAAGCACAAACATGTTAATTTGTGCACCAATGAAAAACATATGTGGTGATCAGAGTATTTTCCTAAAGCAAGGGTCATATTGAATATGTTCTACCATAGTAACTGTCTTCATTTTCCTTTAACACTAATTTTCATTCAGTTGCAAAGAGTTTATCTTTCTTTTTTTTCTTGGAAAGAAAGAGTAGATATTTTCGTTTATTGTAAATCAACAAATTATGTAAGCTCGCAGGATTTTTTAGCTTCCTCCCAGTCCACTATTGAAGAAGGTCTAGTTTTATTTTACAAAATACATATGCACACATATTATGCATAAGATAAGTCTTAGGTGCGCCTAAACATTGAATCAACATACAACAGCATAGGGAAAGTTAGTACTTAGTACTGCTTCATGTTTTGGCTTCCAAAAGTTGATGCCTCCATTTTCTTTTTTCTTTTATATTTATTTTGGTTTAAATGAAACTTCCTTTTGCTTCTAAAAAAATGTTTTAGGAAACAGAATTCCGGTTCCTTAGATGCCCAATTTGACAACATAAACCAGGATATTAACAAATCTTGTAAGTCATGTCCAACAAATTATGACAGCAAGTTTTCTAATGGGAACTATGCAGTTACTACCACTAAACAACTTCATTATGGGAATCATAGTTCACAAGTGTATGATGTGGAACCACTTGCAGGGCCCTAAGCCTCCTTGATGTTCAACACACACACACACCAAAAAAAGAAAAAGAAAAAACACACACAAGTTTTTGTCCTAATAAATGAATGAAAGATACAGAAACTAAAGCCCAATGACATTCCTGCCTGTGTGAGAGAGAGAGTTTCGGTTAAGAGTGCAGGTGGAATGAAACATCTCAATGAAAATCAATGGCTGATGAACCAAGTTTAAATTTAAAAAATATATACATACATATATATATAAAATATAAAAGCCAGTCTACCTTTCGTAAGATGAATTTTGTGTAGAGATTATTATTATTAGGAACCCACGTTGTTGAATTACAGATTTGTCGAACAGATGCTGTTGGTACCAGATGAAAAACAGCAATGGCGTGAAACACCTAAATGGAAATCATAATAAGGTTACCCAAATCACCAAATGACACGTATAGTCCCACTCTGTTCTTGCCATTCTCTTTTCTTGTTACCATTCAAACCAACCCAAAAATTAAGCAAGAAAAACCCTAGATTAAATTCCTCAAACAATCATTCTTCAATCTCAACTAAAAATTAAAATACTAAAAAAACAAAAAACAGAGAACATGATGTTTTTCCATTTTCACACTGACCCATGTGACCATTTTGACAACACAGGTAAACCCTTATTTCTGTTTGGTAGCTGAGAAAATTTGGGAATCGTATTTCACGACACCCCAAAAACCTTTTATACTCTTCCAACATTTTCCTACCAACCAAACAGTTCTTAAATTTGAGAAAAAAGTAAATTACCAGCCACGACGTGGAGCGTGAATGTTGATTTCGAAGCCTCGTTTAGGAAGCTGAGTTCTCAAAAACCCAACTCTGTTATCAAACACCCCTTTGCCAGAACCCTTCAAAAGAGAACTGGGTAACAATTCTCTTACGGGTACTGGGTTTGAAACGAACCCATAAATCTTCTCTGAAATACTCTTCTGTGATCTCCATGAGTGTGAAACAGTTGTGAAATGGTGAGATTGGTTAATGGAAGAATAGGTGTGGAGGTGATTTGGGTTTGTTTTGAGGAGAGAAAACAGGGTTTTTGAGCAAATTGGTTGGAGAGATGGAGTGTTGTTAAAGTGATTTTGGAGCAATTTTGAGGCTGGTTTGAGAGACAATAGTCTCTGCATTGTGAGGATCCTCTCAATTACAAGGGCTTTGAAATGCTTCTTTGTTGGTTTCTTTATATACTCTTTCAGTCTTTCTTGTAGGGGAGGCAAGAGTAGTGGAGGCTTTTCTCAATATAAGCCTTTTTTTTACCTTGTATTTTTAAAATTAGCCCAATTTCTGACGGAATTTCAAAATTAAGCTAATGCGCTATTACTATTCGTGCTTTTACTGTTAGGAGCGCAAAAGTAGATGAACAGCAAAATCGCTATTACAAATAGCAACTTTGATTAAGAAGTCGCTGTTACGAATAGCGCTTCTAGGATTAATTTTTTTCCCAAGGAAATCGCTGTTAAAAACAACGCTTTTTACACAAATTTTTTTTGCGAAAAAAACGCTATTGCTAATAGCGCTTTCACTGTACATATAATTTTTTTTTTTTTTAAAAAACGTTATTTTAAATAACGTTTTTACTGTTGCAACACAAACCAAAACCAAAACCAACCCACACTCTCACTCTGACATAGGCACACACCCACACACACTGAAGCATTGAAATAATATAATTTTTATATATAATAATAATTTATAATAATAAATTATATAATTTTTATAATTTTCATAAATATAAATCATTTTTAGGTTATGGATGGTTTGATTTATCATTTAAGTCATTTATAAAAAAATTTACCTTTAAACCATACGTATGTAAATGTGAAGATGGGTTTACTGTAAATGTAAATGTGAAGATACGTATTAAATTATTTACATACGTATTAATTATAAATTTTTATAAATTATTTTTGAATAATACATACGTATTATAAAATGTGAAGATGGGTTTACTGTGAAAAATTTTAAATAAAAAATGTAAAGATTCAAATAATACATACGTATTATAAATTATTATAAATTTTTTTATAATACATACGTATTATAAATTATTTTTGGTAATTTATAAATTATTTTTGATTATAAAAATTGCAAAAATTATTTTTGATTACAAAATTTTTTACCCTTATATACGTGTTATAAATCAAACCATCCATAACCTAAAAATGATTTATATTTACGAAAATTATAAAAATTATATAATTTATTATTATATATAAAAATTATATTAAAAGCAATGCTTAGTGTGGGTTGGGTGTGTGTGGGTGTGTGCGTGTGTCAGAGGTGGGTTGGTTTTGGTGAATGTCTCAACAGTAAAAACGTTATTTGAAATAACGTTTTCTAAAAAAAAATAAAAAAATTATATATACAGTGAAAGCGCTATTAGAAATAACGTTTTTTTTGCAAAAAAATTTTGTGTAAAAAGCGCTGTTCTTAACAGCGTTTTCCTTGGGAAAAAAATTAACCCTAGAAGCGCTATTCGTAACAGCGACTTCTTAATCAAAGTCGCTATTTGTAATAGCGATTTTGCTGTTCATCTACTTTTGCGCTCCTAACAGTAAAAGCGCGAATAGTAATGGCGCTTTAGCTTAGTTTTGGAATACCGTCAGAAGTTGGCCTAGTTTTGGAAATACAATGTAAAAAAGGCTTATATTGGGAAAAGCCTCAGAGTAATGTATGAAATTGATAGGCTCAGTTTGGTTGGAAGAAAAAGAAAAAGAAAAAGAAAAAAAAAAGTGTGTGTTTACCTAGTTAACCCCAGAAAGTAATAATGGAAATAAAAATTGTTCATACCATTCAAATTAACTTAGAGCATCTCCAACGGTGAAATTCTTTTTTCATCAAATTTGAAAAAAAAAGGATGTTTTTCTCAATTTGATACGAGGCGCTCCAACGGTGAGCATCAAAGCAGAATTGAGGGAAGTGGTTGGTTGACCGGCCGATCGACCGATAAGAGCAAATTTTTTTTTTGTTTGAACCTTTTTTGATCGGTTTGAACCTACCTATTTGAAAGAGAACCGGTCGGCCGGTTGGTCAACCGGCTGGTTGACCGGTTCAGCTCTTTCAACGATCAGGAACAGTAATTTGGTAAAATCAGTACCTTGTTCTTAGTTTGATGATTTTTTTGTTGAATTCTTATTTTGATATCAATTTGGTGAAACGGTTGGAGCACCAAAAAGTGCATTTTTCACCAAAATTTGAATTTGATGCTAAGTTTGGTTGACCGTTGAAGATGGTCTTATTAGCAAGACTTATGATTTTTAAGTAAAATATAGAGAAAACATTGGCTCCGTTTGGTAAGCTCTCAAATTATACCTTCACTTATTGGTTTGAGTGTGGTATATATTTTGAGGTTTCAAATCATAATTCTACACCAATTTCTCAAAACTCAATTCAAGACATAATCATTACTTTTCAAAACTCATAACCAAACACATAATTCAAAACTTTTTCCAAAACTCAATTCAAATCATATTTTAATTTTTTAAATATTTTAAATATTTAAATATTTTAATTTTGTTAAGATTTTAAATATTTTAATATTTAAATATGTTACGATTTTTTTAATTTTTTTTGAATATTTTTAAATATTTTAATTTAAATTTATGATTTTAATTTTTAAATTTTAAAATATTTTATTAAAAATAAATTCAAACTCTATTTGTATAAAAATATTTTTAATATTTAATTTTTTTTGTTATGTATGTTGGTTACGATTGAGTTAGAGTTGAAAAGTATAATATGAACTTTCGATTATGTGTATGTTATGAGTTTAAAATAATTTCTTAAATTGAGTTTTTGTTTTATGTGTTTGGTTACGATTGAACAGTGTAGAGGTTGTTTTTTTAATGTTAAAATTTAAAATTTTAAAATATATAGAATTTTTATTGAATAATTTAAATTTATTTCAAAATATTTATCGATTTAATATATTTTGGAAAGTATTTAAATTTTTTACTTATTAAATTTTTTATATTATTTAAATTATTTAAATTTTTATGATTTAAATTTTTTGAATATTTATTTTGAAAAAAAATTATTTCCTTTGTAGTATTTTCAATTAAAAAATTGATTAATGTTATTTTCTGTTAATAATAAATTTTTTTAATTGAATTTTAAAAAAAATTTGGTTATGAGTGTTGATCAGAATTTTCAATAGTGTGAAAGTAGTGTATTTTGTTATGAGTTATAACAATTTGCTTTAAGTTTTGAAAACTTTTTCTAAAACTCATAACCAAACAAATTTTCTTACTTCACATGTCAAATCAAGCTTTCAAAACTCAATTGCACACTCAATTCAACACTCTATTAAAAAATCATAACCAAACAAATTTTCTACACTCAAATAATAATTTCAAAACTCATAAACTCAAAATACAACTCATATTCTCAAATCATAGTTAGAAAGTCTTGCCAAACGGAGCCATTATTTTTTTGATAAAATTTGCCAACGTTTATTTTTGTTTATCTCTTTATTTACGCTTCTCTCACAACTAGGGATGATCATTTTTCTCCGGCTCATCTTGCCTTGTACTGCATGGATTTTTCTTGCCCCAATGAAGAAGTGGGACGGGAGCGTTCTAACTCACACTCACCCCGTTTATATTTATTATATATATTTATATGTATGTCATCTGTTAATGAAACTGTGACTTTAACAGTTTGCAAATGTGATGTTGTTCTAATTTGCATAGGTGAAGATCGACCGTTTGAGATCTCTTGAGCTTGAACGGGAAATAATAGGATTAGATGTTGAAGCTGTTGATGGAGATGTGGCCAACATTGTCGAAGTTGGTGTAGACAATGACGGTGGTGATGAACATTTTGTTAATGGCGAACATGTTATGAATTTGACTATCGATGGTGACATGCGGGTTGGGAATGTTGAGGTGCATAGGGGCAACAAACGTGAAGACCATAGTGGGGGTAAGGTACATGGACCCTTCGTTAGTGAGTGGGGCATTGGCACAGATGGAGTGCGTGACCCGACGGTCATATCTGATAATGTCGGGCGGAAAGATGCAACACTTGAAAATGGACTCAAAACAATCGCATCACTTGAGTTGCAAAACAAAACCAAGGACGATATGATATCATTGCTTTAAGAAGAGATTGGTAAGGTGAAAAGGAAAAGTGAGTTACAAGCTGTGAACATAGTTGGTGGTTTTGGTTGTGTTCTGAAGATGAAAGATGAAGAGCTGGATAAATTGAGAAATGAGAATGGGGAATTACAGAAGACAATAACAGTACTGGAAGAGCAAATGTGACTCCCGCAAGTTTGCCGAACTCACAAGCTTAACTATCCCTGCGATGTTTGAACGGAAGTTCAACCTCGTGTGGGGTTGACGTTCAGCACCGGTGGAACTTTTACCCACATCTCGTCACACTTACAAGCTTAAATGTTTACCCACATCTCATTGCACTTACCAATGTTTGGGAATTGAAGAGATTAGTAAGTGTGACTCCCGCAAGTTTGCCATATGCACAAGCTTAACTATCCCATGCGATGTTTGAACAGAAGCAACCTCGTGTGGGGTTGACGTTCAGCACCGGTGGAACTTTTATCTACATCTCGTCGTACTTACAAGCTTAAATGTTTACCTACATCTCGTCGCACTTACCAATGTTTGGGAATTGAAGAGATTAGTAAGTGTGACTCCTGTAAGTTTGCTGAACTCACAAGCTTAACTATCCTTGTGATGTTTGAACGGAAGTTCAGCCTCGTGTGGGGTTGACGTTCAACACTGGTGGAACTTTTACCCACATCTTGTTACACCTCATGTTTGATGACTTTAGCCTGTTTGAATAGAATTCAACCCTGCATTTTCATTCCAAGATTGTTTGCTTTGAACCACTGGCTTCCTTAACTCGTTTTCGTTCACATGACTGTGTCCACGGACTCTTTACCCTACCATCGTTTGTAACACCAAAAAACACAACAAATCAGTATAACACCCCAGTACATAAACGGCAGGGAAAAAAACCCAACACATAGTTATCAACAAAAAAACACACAATCCCACATCTGCAACTTGCAGCACACAAACCAAAAAAACTCAACGTCACGCCAATCACTGCAACACAAATGACACATACCTCAACAAAATACAGTCACACACGCACACACAACGTAACCAGCAAACACATCATCAAACCACACCACATGCACAACTTCTATCGCATATTTTGTTTTGTTATGAAAATGAAATTAACGTGTCCCAC